GATCCTTGCACTTAGTTGGGATTTTACGCGCGCTAACTTCCTCAGAAAGTGAAACCCTCTCTTGCACCCTTGTGTGCAAAGATTTTTAAGCATAGGAAGGAATTTGCTTGATAGCATCAAGTAATGGGAGATTTATTTGGACTTTCTTAAACATCTCCATGATTTCATTGTAATGAGTGTCTTTCTTGGGCGCAACCAACCGTTGAGGATATGGAGGCTTGGGAATGTAGTGTGGCACAGGATTAGGCTTTTTTGAATTTAATACATGAGCAGTAGTTCTCTAAGTTATCCTTCTCCTAGATACATTTTCATGACATTTATGCTTGGAATCAGCCGTGTTAGTGTAATTCAAGGCTGTGAGAGCGGTAGATACATCTGAAAGAAAGAAGGCTATGAAAGAAAGATCGGAAGAAGCGGTGTCCGGGCGAACGAAAAACGAGAGACAAAACTATCGAAATGCAGCTCAATTTACTATGTTTTCGAAAAAGGTACGATTCAGGACTTTCTCAAAAAGACGTCCTTGTGCATGCAGGGCTTAGTACATAGTCTAGCCTTCCTACCCCACCTCCCTCAGTCTCGTCTCGCTCACTTCCGTATCGCCGCCTGGCTTAGCGCCACTTCAAGTGCTTTAATTTTTTGCCATACAACCACGAGGGCAGTAGCGTGCTGTGCTTCTTCTGGAGAAACGTTCTATGGGGAAACGCTCTAAGATAAATAATAAAGACTCCGTTCGTTACAGGCATATCGATGCCTTTTATCCGGAAGTAAGAGAACATATTCTCCCTCAGCTTGGAAAGCAAACTTGAACCTCACTTAATTCACTTCCAAACCTGCCTTAGTCTCAAGTAGTTTTTAAATCTTTTTATGTATGTGTACTGTACCGTCCGTCGATCTCGTATCTCATTCCAATCGCCTCGCTCTACGCTTATTTATAATATGTAGCCCACCAAGCTAGCTCTTGGGCGGGGATGCCAGAAGTGTATTTCTCTCTCTACCTAAGCTAGCAGTGGTCTCTCTCTTCGCTCTGTCTTGAGTAGAGTCCATTCCTGTTCGTTCGTCTGAGCGAACTAGACAGACGATAGTTTAATTGATTACAGGGGTTGGTTATAAGCCTTTCGGTCGATCGTATATATACCTTTCCATTGTACCAAAACCATAAAAGTAGGCGACATTTCACCACAAAAAAACTAGCTTTTAGAGAGAAAGTTAGTCTTTCTCACAGTACACCAGGCCCTTAAAAAGAAAGCATTTTGCTTGCGCTAACGCCTGAGGTTCTTCATTGGGAAATCACTTGGCTTTTGAAGCAGCTGGTAGCCAGCCAGGGTTGTTATAGTATATTCTGCTCGGCCCAAGCCCTTAAAAAGGAAAAGAAAAGCGTATGGCTTGAAATCATATAGTCAGAGGCTAAGGATTGCTCTAACGGCAAAGAGTTTATTAGGTGTGAGTGCGCGAAGCGGTATGGTTGTCAGGCTTATCCTAGTTTAGTTGTTAGATCGGCTCGTAAGGCTTTCTTTGACTCGTGTTGTACCGTAAGAACCTACGTGAAGAATGTTCTGGAATCAGAGCAGAAGCCTGAGCCCAGGGCTGAAGAAGCAAGCCCCCTATATAGGCCATACACTAGGGCGGGCCAAGAGAGAGACGCGACCGGGTATGAAAAGCACTTGTTGGCCTGGAGTTCGTCCTTTCGCTCATACCAGGTGCGGAAAGCTTGGAGTCGAGTAGCTCGTCTGCTACCATAGAGGAGGGTGGTCTAAAGGCGGGAATTCAAAAACCCTTTTCTGGGCCCGAATGAATAATTCTTTCAAATAAATTGCATCATTGTTATTATGATTCCCGTGGATTTGGGGAATACTTGTTACTGACCTCTCGAATTGACGCTTCACCTCTCACTTACTTTTATGATTCCGGGGAATAAAGAATAACAGGAGAACGCAGCGCTTCCCAGGGCATACCACCACTATCTTTGAAAAGAACAGCCACCAGCCTGGCGATCAAGAAAAGGTGCAGGCGACCATAGGGAGCAGGTATTCACTTCGAGGGAACCTCTCACTAAAAGAGAGGGTGTTAGCCCTGGAAAGAGAAATGGTAAGGAATATATGTAAAATCTCAAATAGGCATTGGCTTGGGAAAGATCAAAGGAGATCAAAACACTTAGGCTTTCCACCTGGATCTCTTTCTTGATCCCGATGTATCTCTAGTTCCTCTTGGAACACTACAAACTACATCAGGGAGGTAACTTATTACTTAAATGTATATCCGGTGCCTCTCTATCTCTTTATCCACGTCTAGCAACTCCGGATACAGCACACAACGATTCTTCCAAAGCATATGACCTCCTTCCGGATTGATCAGCCAGCTTGACTTATTCCTACTTCTATCTAGCGCACTACGGCTTAACTGACGTTTACTACTTCTATCAAGTTCCGTCAAGCTCAGGAACAAGAACAAGAACAAGCACTCAAACGGGGCGGGGGTGAAGCAGACCGGCAGCCAGATATGACCAAAGGCAAGAACAAGGTTTACATCTTGGGTGAAGGTTCAGTTGCACAAGGTCTATAAACCCCGTATTTTCAATTTTAAAGTCTCATTCTGCACAAGAGGGGCATAAGCGAGGATCGATCTGAAAGAGAGTAAGCTTAGTGAATAGGGACTAAGGAGACGAAGCTGAAGTAGTTTCCGAAGGAGAATCCGTGGATCTAGTTTCATCAGCAACAGAGGCAGGGAGGGCATCGGCTTCAGTTGATTCCGTTTATTCAGTTGTGGATTCTCGCTTTAGTAGCTTATCTGAAATGGAATTGAATACAAGTGTATTGTAGTCAGGGCCGGGCCTACTCCTTTTAGCAGTAGAAGGGAAGTCTTCATCCCGGAGCATACGACGATTCTTTCGCGAAGAACTAGCTCGTTTCAGCATCAGCAGCAGAGTCCGTTTATTCTGTCTGTTCCACATCCCCGTACTCTCGCTTTGAATCCATATCTTGCTAACTGGCTACTTTTCTAGTTCCGTTACATAAGGGCCTTATCTTGCTGCTGGACCTGAGCCGTATGCCTAGCCTATCCATAAGTTCTGCAGGGCATTCATCGATAGGAACCACTAACTCTGCTGTCGTTAACTCGTCGGATGCGGGGTTAAAAAGGGTTACTTAGCGAGTTGAATCGGGGGATCTCGTTTCAGCAGCAGCAGTAAAGGCAGTTTCTTCAGTCGATCGAGTTGACTATGAATCCGTCTCTTGCTTGGCTTGGGACTCCACTCTTATCAGTGTAGTAGGGTAGTGAGTCTTCTTCAACTAGCTCTGGGAGCGAAAAATAGCTTAAAACCAAGTTTCCGGAGGGAAGAACTACATTAAACTCAGTTATTGATCCACCACCATCAGAAGGAGAGCTCGTTGAAGCAGCACGCTTTGTTTTTATTGGATATGCGGAGAACCAAAAGAGGGGCCGAAGCGCGTCAGGTTGAAAGAGAGTACCTGGGGGGCTAGCCTACTGATAGAAAGAGACTGAGAAACAAAACCCGGCCGGTCTTAGCTCTGCAAATCGCGAGGGGTGAGAAGCGAGTGTAAACTACGGCTTTAAAGCCTGAATTAAAGTATAGTTTCGTCAGTGCTTGCTACGGATCTGATCAAGAGTGAGTTCCGTCAGGGCCACTTCCAGATCCTTTAGCCGAATGTTCATCCGAAGCGCGTTTGTCTCCCCTAGTAACGTAACCTCCTCTCTTTCATCTCCTTAACCTCTAAACGAGGTCAAGTTGCTTTTCCTCTGTTTGCTGGGCCTTAGATCTAATAGGCTAAAACGATTCCACATTAAAGAAAGAACCGGACCGGACAATTGGAAGTAAGAAGGAAGCGGGCTACTCTCCGAAAATGCCCCGCCCGTAGGTTCGTTTGTCGTTGGGGCTCAAAATCTTCCTTGCTCGTTCCTAGGAACTCAGTAACGTGGCCAGCCAGGTCAGCAGGGAATGAGAAAGATACATCTAGGCCATATCACTGAGACGGGCCTTAATCGGCAAATTTAGGCTTTCTCTACTGGGAGTCATCAAAGGAGGAATGGGCATACGCTGGTTCGATAAGCCAAGGAAAAACAACCAAATGAATCTACCGAGCTTGATGTGTTAAGCATCTAGCTGGCATCTTTTTCTAAATTAAATGGTCGGCTATAAATACTTATTAATGAATACCATTGCTCTTTCTTCGTTAGCAAAAGACGGGACTCCCCTGGCAAAGATAGGTGATAAAGTGCTAAGATAAGACGTCAACCACGGGGTTGTTGCGGTTCTAGCTCCCGGCCAATACGGGCTCCCAGAAATTGTTGTCGTTTCAGCCCGTTTCGGTTGAGCGAAGGAACGCAGTAGCTCCACCGATAGGGGGAGGAACGCAGTAGCTCCGCGCGACTAGCTGATTAGGCTTCCTCTAGAAACAAGTAAACCCGCTCTATGACTACCCAAGAATCCTGTTTTCATTTTATTTTGGGAATATGGCACATCCGGACGTTGGAACAAGGCTTAAAAGCGGCATACGCGGGGGTTACCCCATTTGCATTTGCACACCTCCTCCAGAATGAGTTGAGATATCTCCTTTCTTTTAGATGTGTCTACCAATGGTTGGGGACTGGGAGTGGTTTATACTTCATTACAATCATAACCGGGCCAAAGCCAATACACATGGACATCGACGGGCTAAGTGCTAATCTGTGTAACAACGGGTATAGTCGCCGGGTAAGAAAAACTGCCTTATTTGCCAGGGCTGTAGTTCGGACCTTTCGCCGTTGAGCGAGTTTAGCTATCTAAGGTATCCATTGATTTGCTTACTACGGTATCAACAACTGGAATGACAGCCGCTGAGGGCTCGGTTAAGAAGTAGAGTGATCGATATCAGATGTACTTGCTTTGGCTTAAAATTTTTTTTCATGGGAAATCCAATTCTTTGTTAACCTCGGCGTGGATGGCTTCTTACTAAATATTCATATTTTATAACCCTAATTTGAATAGAAAGATTAAGGCTCAGATTTGCCAATTGATAGAGAAGCTTGTCCCATCCCAAGCCCAATGTGATCTAAGTAAGACCTCTCGACAGGAGCAGCAGCACGCTTCAACGACAAGACAAATATAATTGACTAAGAATAGAAATGCGGGAAGGCTAATCTCTACTTCCTGGCCTTGCTACCCCCGTTCAGCAGAAGATGGACGGGCTGTTCCATTCTCAAACCATTTAGCTAGGGACGTCACCTCACCAATTCTCAGTGGGCGGTACACCCGGAGAGTCAATCCCGCATCTACTCGAACAAGAAGTTCCAACTCTGTTTTTTTTGCCTCTTTTTCTGGCATATGCCGTACATGACGCAGGCTAGCTAGTTTGACCCAGCTGATTGACTTATAGCTCCCCTGCGCTCAAACTTAGATAAGAATCGCCTGGGCAGGTGGATTCGCTCCTACCACCACCCTACCTTAACAAAAGCTAAGTCGCATACTGAATTACTGCTTCGCTGCCTGTGGAATGGAACCCCGTACCTCCACTTTGTTGTTTCCTTTTTTCGGAGTAAATATATCCCTTAGTCCTGCGAAGGAGCGAGTGAGGTTACTGCAGAATTTCTTGGACTTAGCGGACTTACCCCCATATCCCCGCTTCGTGGGCTAAACTCAAAACGAACCCTGCTTATTTCTTTTTCCGCTGAAGAGGAAGAACAAGAGTCTGGTTGTGCTTCGGCCTTAAATAGCGCCCTCTTCTCTTAGTATAGGGCGGGCTTCCCCCAAGAGAATGCCTTCACTCCACTCCCCCTTCAGACGCCTATGGAGAACTAAGGTACCATTAGGAGTATCCTTTCCGAAGGACTCGAAAACAAGCCACTATTTAACTGTTTAGGCGGCATTGAAGACGCTCCACTCGTTCGTAAGACTCGCTGCGAGTATGGAAGAAAGATAGGGTCAGCAGGCCTTAGCGCAAGCACTAAGTAAGCAAGCTACCTTTACTTCCCTGGGATATCCCCCTTCCTATAGGACGAGCCATGGGAACCCATGAGATTGATTGAACAAGCCTTAAAAGCGAAGAAGAACCTAATCGATCAAATCTATTCGTGGAATTAGAAGAGGGGCTATATAATTAAAGAAAGTCATTCGTACCAGTACCACACTATTTCAATCAAATACCGCTGGCAGACCCTGGTAATTATTATCATCTAACTGGCACATCTGTCCTTTGCACCTCTCCAATGGTAATCATGCAGTTCCTGCCTATTTGGCCTGTACCCCAAACCAAATGTCCCGTAGTGCACTGGGTATTCGGGGAATTCTGGAGGCCCTTGCTGGTATCATCCCAATCCTAGTCCCGGAAGGTAGCCCTTTGCCTTTTTTTACTTTAGGATTTTGGGGTTGCCCTTTCCCCTTACCCATATGAGTAGGACGGGAGCAACTCTTTCCTCGGAGGGCTGAATTCCACCATGTTAACTTCCTGCCCTTTCTAATAAAGAATTCCGGCTCCGTCGGATCTCCAATCTGAACCTTACTAATAGGGGGGCACGAATCCAGCGTAGTCTCTCACTTTCTTAACAGGCGGACGATCCGGATCTCCGTGAATCATAACGATTTGGCTGCCCTGGATGAATCGGACCTTCTGATGGAGTGTGTATAGTAAGGCGTTTGGTTCAGCGACGCCGCTCCAATTGTATTCACCTCTGCTTTAGCCCGAGAGGTCCCGGCAGACTTTTTCTGCTTATTATTCGAGGACCCGTTGCAAATTGCAAAGCAACGGCGTAGAAAGGGGGAGCGAACGCCCAGCTGCCAATGCATCTTCTATCTGGCAGCCAGCACAAACTAAAGAATGAAAGGTTGGATGATGGGTAAGTGTCAACCTATTGGTATACTTAGGGTTCAGGCTCTTCAAGACCATAGCAATTTGATCTTCCTCCGAGGGTCTCTTTTGAAACTGAGCAGCTTGGGCCCTTCCCCTCTATAGTAAGCTATGTGATGAAGTCGGTGAAAGACTCAGTGGGTCCTTGCTTAACGAGTTCTAGCTTACGCCTTGATAACTGAGTTTTTTTATTGTATGCATAGTGCGTCACAAAGGCGTTAGCCAGATCTGGCCGTGTGCGAATGGTATTTGGGTCAGTGTTCATCAACCAAGTCAGCGCGGGTCCGGTCAAACTGCGCTGGAATAGTTGGACAAGTAGCTCATTGTCGATTCCCATGGGCTGTAGAGTTCCGACATACATCCTGCCTTTAAAATTGAAGCTCCGAGGTAAGCCTCTTTTTATCCTATTTTGTTATGCATTCGGTTCCGTTATACTTATATATCTCTGGCCACTTAAAACCGTACGGAAGCCTTACTTTGGGGTATAGGGAGAGATTATCAAGATCTACAACATCATACTTGTCCCCAGTCAATTTATTAACTGCCCGTTCAAGGCGACTGATCTTCTCCATCAGAGGATCGGACGGCTGTGGTGGGACGTATGGCACTATCTGATTCATGGGAGTGGGAGCCAAGGACACGGCCGGTACTGCAGGAGGCTTTCTTCAGATCTCTTTCTCGTAGTGATCCACAGGTTCAGGAACTGCGGGCTGATTCTGAACTGAAGGGGGTACTGGGTCTACAGGTCTAGCATCTGCTACTCTTGGTTGGCTTTGTGGTTGTGGATCTGTGTCCCCTGAGCCGGGGTGGTAGATGGAGGGTTTGTTCCTTGAGCAGCAGGTGCAGCCAGGGTATTTCGGCTACCTGCGAGGTCAATTGTGCTAGCATCCAGGCAATCTCAGCTAGTTGACGGCTAACTACCTCGTTAGAAAGTTGCTGATTTGCCGGGGCTGTAGGGTTCCGCTGGTGGTTAGAGCCAGTAGACTCTTCATTGTCCCCATCATAGAGAGTAAGCAAGTTACCTCGGTGACTGGCGTTGTTGGCCATGATCTCTGGGTCTGATTCACCAAGGCGTTCTAGGTCCTCTATTTTGACTAACCTCCTGGACGGGCCTCTAGTAGTTCGCACCCACCCGCGGTTTGCAAACTGACGGCGAACCGAGTCTAAGAAAGATTCCTCTTGTGCCGAACCTATGGTTCAACACTCAAGATTAGGGATAAAAACCTAAAGGCTGACACCGGCTTAATATAATAAATAAGGTTTAGAAAGACCGCAAAGATGTGTGCTTGCCGCTGTATGCTTCCTGATTAACGTCCGATGTTGCACTGCTGTATGCTGAATCAAGCGGTCCCGGAAATAAGTGCGTACTGAGTGTAGTGCAATTTATTGGGTTCCTTAGCAGGCTATGCCTAGGTTCAGTACATGCATGAGGCTCAACACGGGTATAGGCTTAAGGCTTACCTTAGCAGGCTCTCGCCCTATATACCTCGTAGCCCGAAGACTAGTCGCTGGTACTGGCTAAGGGTGTGGGAGTTCGCATCTATGGTCAATCAATAGGTCCGTTTTGACCTTCTTTTCGGTTGGACCAGATATTTTAAAACCAGGGCTTTTAATGGATATCTGAAAACCTTTTCTTTTGATAAATCAGAACAGATACGGAAGCCTTGAGTCTAAAAACCTCATCAACTCCTTCTTCTAGTAATGCTGCTTAAACTCGCTCTCTAGGATCTATGTTTACCCAATAGTTGAGGAATTATCGACCAACCCCGGAAGAGCAGGGATAGAAGACTAAGTCAACCTCCTGCCTTGATCGACTCCTCCATTCATCGCCTACCATGGACACTTCGACTCCCCCCATCATAAGTAGGGCCTTTCCCTTTTCCTGTGCTTTTTCAACCTCGGTTAATGTAGTATTGAAATAATAACCTCTACTATGAAAATAGTAAGGATTATCCGGCCACTCCCCGTGTTCTTTCAATGCTTTGCTTTGGGAACCGGGCACGGCGAGAGGAGGCTGCTCAACTAGCCCCCCTGGTGTACGAAAGCAGCGAAGGAAGAGGAGCACAACCGTCACTTGCGAAGCGAACAAAGCTTAGCGCTCAAACAAGCCCTCTGATCCTGAGGTGAGGGTGCAATGCCTATCCGTCTAATAGAATATTTCTATTCCAACACACACAGAACGAAAAGGACAATATACAGGATGGGTAGAAAGAGTTGTTTGACTCGATCCATGGTCCGAAACTACGTTATTCTTCGCATCGAGAAGGAATAATACCGCAACAGATCCTATGTGTTAGTTCTCTGCTACTTCAGCTATATGCTTATAACTAGTCTTTTCCTACACCAGTTTGAGGCCTAACGACTGCTCTGCATCTCCGGTGGAATTTTCCAGTTTGCTGCAATATCCTTGGAGCAGAGGAAGGGAGATCATAGGAAGATAATTTACTTTAGTTAGTCGGGACCGTTCGTAAACCACGCCTCCCAGCCATCGCCTTCAGTCTGTCTGTCTTCTTTTTTCCTCTCTTTTCTACGTTACGATTTTGCTTCTGACATTTCTAGTGCTTAGGGGCGTAGCGGAAGACCAAGCCAATCTCGACAAACAGTTGATAAGTACAAGAAAACGGATACGCGTTAGCCGGAGAAAGGTAGCTAGAATATAATATATTCAGAGAAGAAGAGTGAAAGGCAGTTGGAACTATAGGCATTACAGCCTGAGGGAATACAATAGAACAAGAGGGATATCCCGTAATAATAATATTCTTTTTATCCTCCAGCTTGAGCTAAAGGTTCGTATTGGAAAGGATGAAGACTGATCTCTTAATAGGAGACTTCGGTCTAGGAACAAGAGAGATGAGACCTCCTGCCAATTACATTTTCTTAAATACTGGCCTTCGTACAACTACTAAGACTTTGGGAAAGGAGACACCTACTACTACTTTCGTCACTACTACCACTTACCTCTACTACTACTCGCACGCGTACAGCTTCCTATTCCTCTTTGTTACTGGAGATAGAAAGTACAATAGCTAGATTCTTATTAGACTACAGCTTAAGGGGCTAACGCACTTCACTCAAGACTTTAGTTGAAATCACTTTTTGAAAGGCTAAAACCACTCGTCCGACGCTATGTGAGCAGCTGAACTAGCGTTTTCATGCTCTCCAGAGGCCGTAGGAACGACAACTTAGCGAGACTGGGAGTGGTATGCCTATTACTGCGTGGGATAATCGGTCTAGAATTCCGCCCCTTCTCCTTTCCTCTCTATATGCAGGATATGGAAATAAATTCCGTACCGGACCAAAAGTCTCCTATTTTGGTTCTAGCTAGATCCCCTGATCTTTAAAGCGAGTTCATATCTTTTGGCTACTGGACTTCCCCACCCGCTGCTCTGGATCGTCGGGTTTTTCCTCTGATGACTTAAAGGTAAGCTTGCTTGTGTTCGGGCTTTCGAGTTTGATATCACCATATACTAGTGCTAGTGCGGGTGAAAGTTGCTCGACCATAGGTAGGGACTCGCTCGACCATAGGAGAGGGAGAGGGAGAGGAAGGGATCATTGAGGGCATTCCTGGTCTTACAGTGCATTCATGCAGCAAGATTCAGATTGAATGGACATAGAGGGAACGGGGTCTAGTTCAGTTTTCAGGGTGAAAGCCTCGAAAAAGGCTTAGAGCCATTTCCTAGCAACACAAGGCAGGCTAGAAAGGCGAGAGGAGCTATAGTAGCTACATGAAACCAAGTCATTCTTTCTAGAATACTTGCTGGCATGCGAGACGAGACTGGAACCAAGGCCAAGGGCAGGAGCTCCACCAACAGGAACCCTATCATCAACCAATAGGCCAGGTTCGTAGACTGGGTACATAGAAAGGGGGAAGGGACGCTAACAAGTACTAAAAAAAGACTTTCCACAAGGAATTATTATCGCTTAGCGCTTGTGCTAAGGATTGGCTCGATCTTCTTATTCAAGGATTCTTCTGCCTCACAAGTGCCGGGCGATCCCGACCGCACTGATGCGGCTTAACCATCGTTTATCCACAGATGCTACTTTGAAACAACTTGGAGGGGAACGCATCCCTTAGAAGCTGCATGAGCACTTTAACCAAAGAATGTAGGTCATAGCTAAATAAAAGGAGCATTACTTCGAACCAACAAGAAAGAAATCCAATTTGGAGTACTAACCAAAGGAGTGGCACTTGAAACGTAGAAAGACCAAAAACCCAGCCTCTTGCTGAACGAGATTCTCATTCTCTTTTCCAAGCCCGGTTATTGAACCTATGCTCTACTCAATCCCAAGTACCCGTATACGCTACCTTCCTTGATCGACCCAGAATGTACTATCTCTAGCCGTGAATTCACTACACGAACATTTAACATATGAAAGATAAACGAGATCCATTGCACAAGTATGCTATTTCAATCAGTCCATGCTATCCGCTACACAGGCATATTCTACCCACTACACAGGGTTATTCAATTCCGTTTAATTCAAGACAAGAAAGGGCAGGAACGCTTCAAATAGACTGCTGTGGACATATTATTCAGAGAGCCGCATAGACCCTCGATTTAGTTTAGAAACAAGAAGATTACAGCCTAGTAGTTGGTGGAGGCACTAAGTACCCTTTGGGTATGACGAAAGGCTACAGCTATGCATAGGAAGTCTCAGTTAATGGGATGCCGGGTTCCCTTTGAGTGTAGAAAAGCTGCTGCTCGACTTGAATTGAGGTTGTGCCTCTTCCAATCGCCATAGTTAAACTTCTGATTAGCCCTACTCTACTAGATTTGCCATAGCAAATTCGATAAAGGAGGGGTGAAAGACTTAAATTTCTATATATGTAGAAAGGACACAACCTTTTTAGAAACAAAGACTACGAGACTTTAGATTATCCATCCACTGTTACAAGAATGATATGTGCCTCCATTAGGAAGAGAGGGAGAATGTAACTCAGTTTCGGTTAAAGTTGGCTTGCTGGATCTTGGAGTTGAACGTGAATAATTGTGAGAAATTACCCCCTTGTGTATCCTTCTGTTCCTAAGGGAAGGGGCTTACTCATATAAAATATATAAAATAAAGTTTGCACTTAATCTATTAAGGTATTTCATTCCAATCTTCTGATCTTCAACTATTCTCACCCCTCGGAGTCTAAAAAGATGTGTATCTTGCTATTGGTATCAATCGGTCCTCTCTTTCCTTTTGGTGGTATAGCCGCATGTGTAGATTACCCTTATTCTTCATCTTCTCTACCCTTCGGTTGCTTAGGGCGCCCTGAGGGATTCGCCTCTAGGAGAAGAGTTATTGATCACATAGCTTGGGTACTAGAAGTTGCGGATCGTATCATTCGGGCAGAGCCTGGGTCCCTTAGTATTATGTATAGCGCAGCTCCCTCAAAGTTTCTTTTGCTAGTTTTGTTCCGATCGATGAAGGAGACTCTACTAGTCGGTAGCGCGCGGATTCGTTTTCCTATTTCACTGGGATCGGTCCTAAGGCGCGTGCTTCAATATTGTCTTGATTGGCAGTCGCTCTTCTGTATTTTTAATCTTCAGAGATACCCTTAGAGTTCTGTCCTGAATGGGAGGGTTGTTGAGTCAAGTCAAGAAGAAGAAAAAGAAAGTCCCACAAAGGAATCTTGGACAATGGGCACAAGTCTTTCTTTATTAAAGTTTTTATTAGTATCTCCATTATAATTAGCATTTCTATCAGCTCTGCTCTTTTGTCTCCTGAATATCATCTCGAGACCCAAACAACGAGATCCGGATTGGAACCAACGCATATTGATTCAAAGCTTATGGCCCTTCAATACAACCCCCCTCTGTATAAAACCGTAAGTGAGCGGTGCGAGTCTACAAAGAATACTTAACATCTTCCTTCTTTGGCGCTGTTGGAGATGCCCCACAAGGCCTTCTTTCTCAAGATTGAATTATTCGCGGTGAACAAAAGGAAGCAACGCCGCTACAAGCAATAGAAAGCAACGTTTATTAATCCATTTCAGTAGGTGGCGGTGTACACTAGGTATCAACAAAGGACGCTTTCTCTCACCCAGCCCTTAGGAGGTGTTAACTCTTCGCCTTCGGCTTTCCATTGAATGATCCATCCGGTGTGCTATTTATACTCCGTCAGTGAGGGCTTCTCCCTTTTCAATCTACATGGCATACGTACACGAATATTATCATCGACTCGGCTCAAAGCATATGATCAAAGCTCTAGTGGCGCACATAGCAATATCAGAATGGAATTCTCGTCGGCCTGACCGGCAGTAATAGCGAACTAACACTGTTCTAATAGAAAGGGGGAGTCCCTCTTTGCGGTAGATAACGCAACCGAACACAAAATGAAGCTTTCAGTCTCGCAAAGCATCTGGGCCCCCCGGAAACAGCCAGCGAATCGATAACTGAACAAGAGGAAGTAGAGCGTCTCACGACTCTATATGCTGTACCACATACTAAGACCAAAAGCCGTTCTTAATAGAAGTCCCCAGGAGCTGGTTCCTTGAAAACTCTTCCCTCTCCTGTCTTTGAGGAATTCCACGTGCAAGAGGGTCTACTCTCATTGTTGAGGTACCCCCGTTCACTCCGAGGCCATTCAACGGCCATTCCACGAGGTAAGCCCGCTAACCCCGAAAGTCATTGTCTCCTGGTTCGTTCTTCCTGTGGATTCCCTACCAATCTAAGTAAATAAGGGTTCTCGAACCCCGTCTCTCCCGTCATTGAGGTAAGCGCGGCTATCCCGATCGGGCTAACCATTTAAAGATGAAAGATTTCCCTCGGGTAATTAATGGCAGGCGCTCTCCGAGCCCTGTGCTTTCCTGTATGTGAGGAAGGGGAGTTATTCTGTTTATGGAAATAAGAGGGATACCTTCAGTGCACGAACTGCCTTTTATTTATTTGGGGCACCTAATCTTCCGTATTTGTATTTAATGAGTACAAGGAATTATTATCGCTTAGCGCTTGTGCTAAGGATTGCTCTCTTCCCTTCTTCCTTACTCTAACAAGTAAGCAAGTTTCACTCCCTCTCCCTATGGTCGAGTGAGTCCCTACCTTTGGTCGAGCTAGTAAACTTCCTTGATGTGGAGTGGTACCGGGGGGTTGAAGCTCTTAGCTCAATGGCTGCTCCTTGCAGAAGGTTCTGAAAGAATTTTAGGTCCTATCTTTAGACTTCTTTAAGTAAGTTTCCTGCGCTGCTTTTCCCTTGAGCGAAGAACCGAAGTAATGAAAGCGTGCCGGTTCTGAAAGAAGGAGAGTGTTCTTTGACTGAGGATCAAGACAACAAAGGTTATGAAGGAAGTGCGTTTTCCGTGCTTTAGAATAGAAATTGGTAGAAACCCACGTACTCTTGATTCAAATCACTCTGTTTTCCCGTGGTTTTCATAGGAACTGGTAGAAGCGAAGGTAAAAAGCATTCATGAAGAAGCAGAGCACCAAGGGGAGTTACTTGCTCGACCGTTAGAGTAAGGCAACCGTTTAGGTTGTGTTAGAATGGGAGTTCCTGTGAAGGTGCCGAAGGTGAAGCAGCTTTACGACGAGAGTGAAACACTAGGGCATCGAAGGTAGGTTACTTGCTCTTTAAGGAGAGGAACGGGGTAGCTCGACCAACAGGAGAGGGAGTTTACTCGTTAGAGCGAGGCGATTGGAATGAGGGTGCGCTCGAATGAAAGCTCTAGAGAGGAGGCACCAAAGGTTACGAAGTCAAAGAAATTATGCCATTCTTTTTCCATTTCCCCTAAAGGTTCTGAAAGAAAAGGGGAAGGAGAGGTGTCCTTATTGACTGGGGAAGAAAGGGAGGCAGGAACTGTTGAAAAGAGTCTATTTTACCGTGTTTTTCCATAGCAATGGTGCTTTCACCCGTAGGACTGTGTCACTTCACCATGTCACTTTTTGATTCGAAAGGGCATTAAGATGGTATAGCTCGAGGTGAAGAGCACCACCTTCCTTTCAGAACCTTTCTAGTAAGTAGCTACATTCCTTTCTTTTACTTCGTAACCTCTTGTCACTCTTTCCTTGCGATGCCTTCCTGAAGGTGAGGCTCCAAAGGGAGTTTACTTGCTCGACCGTAGGGAGAGGGGTGAGGCTTCTGTCTCAGCGACTCTTCCTTGCGGTTAGAAGGACTTTTTCTGTCTACTCTTCCCTATGGTATCTTTAGCCGCCCTTGAGTCTGCTTGCCCGCTCTGTGGAGGAGAGAAGCAACGCTTTACGACGACAAGGCACCGAAGGTGAGGCAGCGAAGTAACCGAAGGTGCGCGTTGGGATGCGAGTTCCAGGGAGTTAGGGAGCGCAGCTTATTGACTCCGTTATCAATAGTCGGACAAACAAGCAAAAAAGAGTTGTTTTATGAGCGAAATGACCCTTAATTGCTAGTAGTTTGTCCTTATCTGTTGCGCGGTAAAACCATGAAATATCTCATCACCTTCGGTGCCTTGCTTTCTCGTTGTCCTTGGCATCACTGCATGAAGCTATTGCTAACAGAGAGCGAGTGGCCCCTTGGAAGGAACACGAACGGAGGGGAAGCAGCTCTTCCTGTCTTCTTAATGTGGAGCTACGTGGTATGGGGGTGCTCCCCCATCCTCTAACCGTTTAAAGCAGCTTAAAGAGAAGAGCTAGTCGTTATACTCCTATCTCCTTACCTTCCTTGCGCTATAAGAGGAGTGAACGCTTCCTGGGAGGGAGCATGAATGGTGTGGAAGTGGTTGTTCTTTGCCTGCTGTTCCTGTTGTTTTAACATTACTTAACTCCTAGCTCCATAACTTCCTTGCTCTTATAGTAAGTGAACGCTCTCTCGAAAAGAGCATGCGCGGAAGGAAAGTTCTTCCTTTCTTCCTGTCTCTAGCATCTAACAGCCTAAAGGGAAAGCTGCTAATCATTACACTCCTAGCAAGCTCGCACACTTCCTTGCGCTACATAGTGAGTGAGTGAAGGAGTTGGTTACTTTGTTGGTTGTTCCTCCCTCCTTTCTTTCAGAACCTACTACAGCCAAAGAAGCCTTTCTCCCTGTCTCCGAAAACGGACTGAGAGCTTTATTGAGCACGATAGAAAATTGCATTTATGGGGGGATATAAATACCTCTTAACGCCTGATCTCAGTGTAGCTTCTTCGCTTCTGAGGCACTTAAAAAAGATAAAAATGGAATTTTAAAGAGGAAGATTAAACTAGCTCGACCAAAGGGAGAGGAGACGGGAACTCTTTGACAAAAGGGTGTTTTCCCGTGTTTTTTGGCGTGAAACGTGTTTTCACCCCTTGCTTTTTTTGAAACAAAATCCGTTTTCCGGGGATTTTTAATAGGAATCGGGGTTGTAGTAAGCGGGGAGTTTTACTTTTTTGTCGGGCTCCACAAAGCCTTTCGCCGACATCAATAACATTTCATATCTCACGAATTGGATTCGAACCAATCAAGCTACTTCCCTTTTAGTAGATCGTGAGTGGGTCTGTCGTCCTCCTAATTAAAGTCCTCCTAAAATCAATAGCATTTCGTCGGAATACATCCTGTCTTTTCACCTTTGTAGTCCTATGCATAGTCAGTACTATAGCCCCAATCATGGCTACTAATAAAATAAGACTAGGAACCAAAAACCAGACGAAATAGTAGGTATAAAGTAAATTGCCCAATGTTTCCAAATTTGTCCAACTTTGCACCTTTCCGGCATAAACCGTATATCTCAGAGAGGTCGTATTTCTTTGGGTTGGTAGTAATGGAATGGTTTCATTATCTAAAATGAAGAACATTTCCCACCAAAGGATCAGTCCAATAATACCACTCACTGGTAAATAGCGCAATACTTCTTCGTGAATCTCCGCTATTTGAATATGGAACATCATAACAACGAATAGGAATGAAACGGCTATAGCTCCTATATGAACTACTGGGAAGATCATTGCGAAGAAGTCGAGACCTAACAAAAGAAGTAAACCTGAAGTGTCGCGAAAGACTGGAATGGGAAACAAAACGGAATGTACCGGATTTTTTGCACGTGCAACCATCAAACCAGAGACCAAAGCAGGGCTCGACAAAACGGAAAGTATCATGACTTATTAAGATTCACTTGTAGTTCCGCTTCTTGCTCTAACAGAAAGACTTTTCGGAAATCTGGTTGGTCCAACCAAGAAAGGCATGGGAGTCTTTGGGCGTATTTCATACGCAATTTCTTTTTTCTCAATTCAATTGCAGTCTCCGAAGTCCTTCTTGATCGATGGTCCCCATTAGCATTAGTGCCAATTAGTAGCCGCTCTTTTTGGAAGGCGAGGTACTCATGTGTGATCGCGGATTCCGCGGTAGCAGTAGTTCTAGCTCTACATTAGGAGCGCGGGGGCTCTATCTATCTAAAGGGGGTACGGACCCCTTCCATAGTACGGTACGATGCAGTTGAAAAACGTAAGCCCGGTTGGGCTTACGTTTTCTTGCTTTTCTTTGTTGAACCCTTTACGGTCTACCCTCTTTCTCGATATCCCAATTCTAGCGGTCGTTAGCAGAAGTAGAGATAGGGGGAGGTAGGAATGAGGGCCCGTACTCGTCTTAGAGCTAGTTTGACTTAGTGTACAGGACAGTGGTATGCGTGTCAGGGGAAGAAGCCAAGACCTCTTAGTTACCAAACCTTCGCCCATAGCCTAAAGGAGGAGAGGAAGCTTTAGAAAGTGACTCTTTGGACTAGTCTCATAGCCATCTATCTCTATAGCATCCCGCAATTCCTGCTCCTTCCCGTCCTTCTTTTCGTTCTTGATAGCACAGGAAAGAGACTGTTCTTGGTCCTTGGCCGTCCTTTGTCCTCTTTCGATAATACCATAGATGCTATTGGTCCCGATCTTCGATTCAATCTGGGAATGGTTGTTAAAGAGACCCGTGGTAATCGTCTTTTTTTTCTTTATCCGAGGTCTTAGCTATCTTTAATCAGGCTAATCTTCTTCCTAAAGATCCCATCCTGCTTAGAAAGATAGCAGCCAGAAAGAGAATGTATAAAAAGCTATGATAGCGGAGTTAAGTTAAGTGGAGAAGTAAGTAGACTGGACAACTAAGAGGGAGACATTAGTGATTCCCCTCCAATCGATAGCTCAGAAAGAAGGAAAAGGGATTACTTCTTACTCATCTCAGATGCGGCTAATCGACTGATGATCTTATCAACTTACTCGGTATATGGAGAAAGTCATCAACAGACTTGTCTTGACGCTGCTTGGCTTCCGTCAATTCTCTTACGCCTACGCACTAAAGGCAAAAGGATGTTTATCTGTACTTCCTCTATCTTACGTCCTTTGACTTCACTCCGCTACGCACCTTCAAACAGCCTAGTTGTCCTAAGAGCGGATTCATCCCCAGATGGGCAAGGGAAAGCCTAAACCTTACTCCGCCAAGCCCTTCTTGCAAAGACCGGTAATGCCACATCTAAGAGAAGAAAGCATCGAATCCTCTCTTTGCTATAGTTAAGATATCCCCTGCTATATCTGCTGTTGAGAATCCTCTTCCAAGGAAGTCTTCTTTTTTTTCTTTCCCCCCAATCGTCTCTTGCAAGAGATGGGCTTTATAGAATCGGATGGCAAAGAGAAAGACTAACTAACACTCTCCATCCTTTCTTATATTATATACGCTACGCTATTTGCAGTGAAGTGCCTTATGCCGAAAATTGTCTTGCACATAATCGTCTTCATCCCATGCTGCTTGACGGAATGCCTTCTAGAACGAGAGTGAAGAAAGAAGGGCAGAGAATGTCTTTTTTCTCGATAGCCAGTCGCGCATTCTTCCTCTCTTACTTTCCCTTTCGCGGGTAAGTAGATAGTCGGTCCCTTCCCTGGCCCCGCAACCAAGAGTCACTCGTCGAAAGCTTGATTGACCAGGAAGACAAGCAATAGGAAAGAAATCCCAATAAGGAAAGCCATTAGCCAGCAGGCAAGTAGTACGGCCAAGACTCTAAATAAGAAGACTCGCCAAAGTCCAGCTTTAAACATCCGGAAAGAAGATCAAGCGAAAGCCCAGCGGCTAGAATTTCTATTGAACCTTTACAGCTACAGTGCCCAGATCGTTACGCCTTTCTTTCCTTTCGGACTAATAAAAGCAACCAAGACTTAGCAATGGCAATGGCGTCCTCTGCAAGCGTAGCAGTTGGTGGAAGGGGAAGAGGAGGTCGTATACGGGCCTTAACCAAATCGAGGTGAAAATAAGCCTATTTAGGGTTAGGTAATGAGGAATTTGAAGTGCTTCACTGAATAAGTGAAGGAATGGGTTCAACTTGGAGATGGAAGTATTGAAAGACAGATCGACCAATGGGATAGCAAAGATCCCGAAAAAGGCTACCATTCCGGCTTTGAAGGGAACGGAGGGAAATAACTCAGAAAGTCAGGGAGCTGCTTGCGCTCAGGGGGAGCTCAGTAACAGGGTCTTCTTTCTGCCTCTGTATTCGCTACTACTTCTTCTTAGCTCTTAGCTAGGGCAATACTCCTAAGAATACTCCCAAGTAAGGGAAGCTCTGACCAGAAGATGGAATCTGTACGGCGGATAGGTGCATCTGTTGAAGGCATTCGAGCCCGCTTGACGGTCCCGTCAAAGCAGTTCTTTTTGGTACATTCCTTTGCCTAACTATTCTAATTATATAGTATATAGTTAGTTATAAGGGAATGAACTGAAGGTTTGAGAAAGATCTTTGAGAATCATCCTTGAGCAGACTGCTCCACAAGAACCCCCCAACCCCCGTATTAGGGCTACGAATCTTTCGTTTTTGGTATCTCTCTCAAGATTATAGGTTCCTTCTGAAGGAATTATTATCGCTTAGCGCTTGTGCTAAGGAATGGTGGCTTTTTTCGTACTTTTAGCAGCTAGGGAACGAGAGCTACAGCTACCTTGTCTTAGGATAGGAAAGGCAAGGACGGTCCGATTAGGTTTGGGCTTTGGCTTTGGATAAGATGTCCTCAGACTAAGAGAGGCACTTAGAACCATCTCGAGCCTACTTAATTAAATAGCTTACTGCTTTCTAGCCGGCTTTAGGTCCTTGGCTGAGCAGAGGAGGAGAGAGGTGTTGGGGGACAGCCTTCCTCTTGTGGTGTTGTGGAGCGTTATCTGCCTTTACGGGTTCATCCCGCTAAGGAAAAGCTCCGGATTTTGTTTGAGCCTTTCTCCCTACTCTTTAACCGGAATAGCTATAAGTGCGTCGGTTGATGGCGACTTGCCCAGTTAGTAGGTACCCTTCTTCCCTTTCACTTTAGGAAGAAAGCTATTGATTAGAGAACTACCAGCTCCACTGACTCAATAGGCGAGGAATCGCTGGAAAAGGCATGATCACCGGCGATACAATCGAAGGAAGGAACGCCGGAAGAGGTCAAACTTCGCACAGCGTAGGACACAGCAAGACGTCAAAGAGTCAGATCTTACGTCAGCAACAGTGATCAGAGCAGCGAGAACAGCTAGCTGAGAAAGTGGAGTTTACCTATTTGACCCCAGATCTCCAGTCTCTCTCGGAGTAAGCTCCCTTCTGTCAATAAAGAAGTGAGGAATCTCTTAGAATCTCGGTGAAGACAGGCTTCTTTAGCACAGGCAACTCCATCAACTACAACGACGTAGGCGAAAAGAGGCTTTCTTAGCTACCACGTCCGGGCAAGAGCTCGCCGCCTACAAGGCTGATCCGAGGGTACGTGCTGAAGAACAACAAGCTCAAAACAGAGATCGCTGGTTAAAGAATAGGCTCATGACTAGGGAGAGGCTTTCTCTTCTTGACTTCATCTTTGGAGGACAAGTAGCAGCAGCAAGATCCGGTATCTCAAGATGGAAAACCATTGGGAGACCCAGTGTTTCCACCCTTCACTAATCTCGACATGGGAGAAGGAGTCACGGCAGCTCCTATAATAGTTCCGAGTCGGACAGATGAAGGGACCAGCTACATTCACCAGCAGCTCAACAGGACAAATACAGCTACCCATCCACCATACTATGAGTTGCACTACTCATGAGCTCTAGTTGAAAGGCCTATGAAGAAGATCGGTCAATCGGAAGTTTAATGAGAAAAGTAAAGAAGTTGTCCAGTTTTTAGAAGTGCCTAAAGATTGGTGCCTTATTCATGCTGTTGATACTAAAGCTATGAATTAGGCCCCTGGGAAGAACTCAAACCATTGGTTGATCTCTACTATATACATGCAGCTGAGCTGGAATGCATGCCACAAAAATCATTTTTGAATTTCCGCCTTTCATAATAATTGAAGTATGGAAGCATGGGACGGCAGGCTGAGAATGCATTCGATAGGACAAAGATGCGAAGGTTACGAAGTAAGGGCAGTCTCTTTACTGTGGTTTACCGACCTTCCTTCCTACCTGGTGAATACGCCATACTATAGATCTCCCACTGCTGATGGTTCAATTAAATATAACATTAAATCGGCTAGGGAGAGATGGAGCCACTGGCGCTATTGAGCCCTTCGATTCATTTCTCCGGGAGGATGCACTAGCAGGAGCCTTGATTGAAATGACTTTAGTCCCGAGGTTTGTCTGAAGGAGAGAGGACCACCAGAACTATGAGCTAAATAACGGACGGATGGATTTAGAACGGATGGAAGTTCACTCACAGACTTAGACCGCCATAGGAAGAATCAGAACGATGGAGAGACAGAGAAGAAAGAGGATAGGAATGCCAGCCGCTTGTAAGGGAGTCTCTGGTCTTTGGATCTTGGTCATCGTTGGTTCGCATCGTTCAATCAATCCCCGAATTAGCAAGCAGACATCTTTATATGGAACCGCGAGGGCCCCCTTTCATGGTTGTAGAAAAGGTTTTTTGTTCGAATCCTTTGGTCGTACAATAACAAGTTTTTAAGTATATAGTCTTCGATGAAAGAAAGAGAACAAACAAAAAAATAATGGGAACAATCAATATTGGTGATGCAAGCATTGCTGTATTAGATCCAAAGGTTTTTTCTTGACCTAGCAAGGACTCTTAAATATTAAAAGAAAGTAGAACCTAAAAAGAAGAACATCGGATGTTTATTTAGGTTTGGAACCCTCTCTTTTTTCCCCATCCGCAGGAGGAAAAATTCAGGTTGCTGTTCAAGTTAGTGAAGTTATTTCAGACCGGAATCACGCTCTGTAGGATTTGAACCTACGACATCGGGTTTTGGAGACCCACGTTCTACCGAACTGAACTAAGAGCGCTTTCTTATCACAGTAGATACGACTGTAAAGAAAAGGATTTTTTTTGTACCCCCGCATGTCAAAAAAAAAGATTTTTTATGTCCCCAATTTGAATCGAATTCAATGGGTCCCTCGTTACTGCCCAGAGGAGAAGTCATAGGTAGGAATGACAGGATTGGGACCCGTGACATTTTGTACCCAAAACAAAGGCGCTACCAAGCAGCGCTACATCCCTTTCAATTGGTCTACGATGGTCATTGTAGAGAATCCCTGCCCTGTTTTCCACATCGTTATTTCCTCCATCGATATCAAATTTCTCTTGCCATTTATTTTTTTGGGTCTTTATTGATTTATATACTCATCATCCCGCCGCTCCTACCAACGCTTACTTACTTATTCAAAGGGGTTCTAAATAAAATAATCAGCCCTTTGAATAAGCGAGGCTTTCCCGATAGAAATAGTTGCATGCGAAAGAGATCCCAATTCCGTGTATCCGGTTAAGCAAGCCCTGCCGCCAGCTTCCACCCAGACAAAAAACGTGAGCGCCTAGCGCGAAAGGTTGCTTTACAAAAAAAAATATAAGGCGCATTAGCGCTTTAGTTTTCAATTCAATAAGGGGCGGAGCTTGAAGAAGCGAAGCGAGCCTAGAGTAGCAGCCTATTACGTTTGTTTTTGGCCCCTTTACTTGATATTAGTAAAGCGCTAGCGCCCCTATAGAGTAAGGCTCTTCTGCTATCAATGAAACCGAAAGAAACACAAAAACCCAGTGCGTTTTGTATAGATCGAGACTTGTAGCTTGATTCTTTACTCATTCCATACTGGGAAGAATTGCAGGAAATCGTTCAATAACACTTCTTACTATTTCTCAATGATATCCGATGATCAAGACAATTCCCGCGAAACTCTTTCATTTCATAGAAGTTTATTCTTATTCTTACAAAGCAAATAGCATTTCCTATTGATTTGTCCCCTGGACTGGACCTATTCTGATTCTGAATTATCCGTCGCTACGCTGTTCCCAAGGACTAGCAAAATCGAAATAGCGAAATTCTTGGGTCATCTCAATGGGTTCAGAAACCACACGTTTCTCTGGATCATCATAGCGTACTTCCACATATCCACTCAGAGGAAGATCTTTTCGTAATGGATGACCCTCGAAACCCATAATCTGTTGATATACGGCGTAGATCCGGATGATTGATGGAAGAAACACCAAACATATCCCAAACTTCTCGCTCCCACCGGCCGGCTGATGGAAATAGACTGACTACCGGAGATATTCGTGTTACTTCGTCTGCACTGGTTTGTACACGAATGCGTGAATTATACCGAGTACTCAGTAAATTATAGACCACTTCAAATCTTCGTTTTCGAGAAGGATAATCAACTCCGCAAATATCGATCGAAACTTGAACCCTTGTATAGGTATGCAATTTAAGAAAGCACAACAATTGAAATGGGTAGTCCGTATTGGTATCAGACCTATTCCCATGTTCTGATCTTTCCATTTTTTTACCCATTTCTTGGGTAAAGTCTCCCAACTATATTTGAAAATGAATTGGTTATCCATAATGATTAAGATTCACTTGTAGTTCCGCTTCTTGTTCTAACAGAAAGACTTGTCGGAAATCTGGTTGGTCCAACCAAGAAAGGCATGGGAGTCTTTGGGCGTATTTCATACGCAATTTCTTTTTTCTTTTTCTATTTGAATAGAAATCTCCCTTCCTAATATCTAATATAAAGTGGTTGCATTTTATCGGTCTATATATAGATGTAGCTAATGAACCAATACCCAATGCTGCGCTAATTGGATGCCCAACATGAGCAGTTTCCACCTGAAGCACCGGCTAAGTGAATGGAAAAAGATAACCAGTTGACGAGGCACAAGGGCGGGTGTAGCTGATTGTACTTCCTCTCTGCCAGACCCAACCCTAAAACTAATAAAAAGAAAAGAAAGGGGAATCAGAATACATTTCCCTCGAGCAAGCAAATCAAGAAAAGACTCACCCTTGCCATGGGCGATAGCGGCTATGTCTAAGCAGCTGCTTTCCCATTCATTCCATAGGTAAGTCTTATTTTTTGCTGTAAACGAAGAAGGAATGATTCAATATCATATCATAAAAGACCTAGATGCTCTAGCTCCAAGAAAAGACTAAGAAAACTCCTTAAAAAGAGAAGAGTCAATCCTCAGCGTCGGATTCTTCTTATGCTGATTGACCTAGCCGTGCGTTTCCAACTGTTATGACTGGGAGCTAGGCGCTATTTAGCCCTCCATTTCTAAAGCAAGCAGGGGAGCTAGACTCGCTCGACTGAAAAGGAACGAAGTAGCTTGATTGATGAAAGGAACGAAGTAGCTTGACCGCGGGCGCAGGGAAAGGAGAGGGAGTCACCGAAGAGAAAAAATAAAGGTTCAAGACAATGAAAAATATAAACGCAGGAAGGAACAAAAGTCAAGTATGTAATCTAGCAGTCATGAGAGCAGGTTAGAGGCAAGCCGACCTAACCAACCTACGATATATAGTAACCGACCTACGAATATAACTTTGGGTTAGGTTGAAAAGTCTAGTTGGAAAAAACAGATCAATCGCATCCCAAAGGGTCAAGGGCTGAGTTGCACATTCTATTTTGGCCTCTTTTCTTAAGTAGAATGAAATGTTCGGCCTAATCTATGATATTGTGATTATGTTACTGTTATTTGGTCTTTTTCAAGCTTCCCAGAGTTGTCCTTCAGCAAGCAATTATAGGGGTTGAAGGGGTACCCTTCTAGGTCGTCGCTTTAGTGGTCTAATTTCGGTCTTTTACGTTATGGAGTTTACTCACTTCTTTTTTATTATTAGAGTTGAGTCTGGTATCGATAGATTGGCAACCTCTAGGGTACAAGCCCCTCCAGGTACACATATATGGGCTCTAATCCCAGGTTAAACTATCCAGTCGAACTACGTAATCAAATAATCCATGGAAGACAGGGGTTGATCGAGTTTTGTACCCTTTATCGTTTTTGGGTATAGGCTGATAGTTAGGCGGTGACTCACTTTTTTTTTTTTTTTTTTTTTTTTTTTTTTTTTTTTTTTTTTTTTTTTTTTTTTTTTTTTTTTTTTTTTTTTTTTTTTTTTTTTTTTTTTTTTTTTTTTTTTTTTTTTTTTTTTTTTTTTTTTTTTTTTTTTTTTTTTTTTTTTTTTTTTTTTTTTTTTTTTTTTTTTTTTTTTTTTTTTTTTTTTTTTTTTTTTTTTTTTTTTTTTTTTTTTTTTTTTTTTTTTTTTTTTTTTTTTTTTTTTTTTTTTTTTTTTTTTTTTTTTTTTTTTTTTTTTTTTTTTTTTTTTTTTTTTTTTTTTTTTTTTTTTTTTTTTTTTTTTTTTTTTTTTTTTTTTTTTTTTTTTTTTTTTTTTTTTTTTTTTTTTTTTTTTTTTTTTTTTTTTTTTTGGGGATAGGTTCAAATAAGAACTGCATATCACTACAGAGAGCTTTGGTTTTGTGCATCAAATTATAATTTTCATATCATTTTGATTTTTAATTTGGGTTTCATTTCATATGCGATAATGCCTTTGTTTTGTTTTGTGTAGAGACTTGCGAATGAAACTGTACCAACCCCCATGGAACCCAGCCCCCACCAACTACCATATATATTGGCATTGGGTTTGTTGGGTCTACATGATAACCAATTCTCTTTTAAAAAATCTGTTTTCTTCCCTAGCTAACAATATTATCAATCAAATTTTTTTAAATTTATTCTAAATGGGAAATTGACATTCAAACGTTTTTCCGAGAGGACATATTTCTCCCTCGAAAGTAGTCAAACAATTTAGACGAAAGGAGAACCCCTCGGAAATGTTCAAGCAATTTCGACGGAATAAGAAGCCCCTCGGAAATAGTCAAACAGTTTCCGACGGAAAGAGAAAGCCCTCGGAAATAATCATCCTATTTCCGTCAAACATACTTTTGGTCGTTAATAAAGTTGGGTCAAGTCTTCCCACCAAATAAATTACATTTCCGACGACAATTGAGACTTTTTTCCGAGGGTATTTCCTTTGTCGGAAATAAATTTCAGGCTCGTGACCTATTTCCAACGGACAGTATTTTTTGGTCAGAAAAAACACTTTTACCGAGGAAATTTCGGGGCCTTCGGAGAATGTTGGTCGGTAATGACCCCTTTTTTTTGTAGTGACAACAGACATTTAAAATGGAATAGTTTCATTCTCATGAGGTAGTTTTCCATCATGAAAGCCCTTATTCACTTCAACACACAACAGACATTCAATAATGTTTCATATGATTTTTGAGCAATAAAGAGATAAGGTACTTATAGTACCTGTGCCTGTAAACACCTACATACCAAATAACATCCATGTAATTTCAAATTTTAAAATGAAACTTGTTCCAACAACATCCAATTAAGAAAGCAAACAAATGTCGCCAAAACATAAAATAGGGATTACTGAGTTGAAAACATACTTATATTTGAGAATTGCAAGTCCTCCGGTTGTGCTGATCACACCTTAACCACACCTACTGCATTTGTAGCTTCTTTTTTTTCCTCCCCTATAGATTTAATCCTCTTGGTTCGAGGTCTACCAGGTGATTTCACTTTAAATTCTTCAAGTTCCTTTGGTGCCTCTTTCTCAATATCAGGAACAAGTGCAATTGGGATGCCATAACACTTCTGTAGTAATTTGCAGTAAAATAAGGTTCAATGTACTTGTACGGATCACCATCATCAGCAAGGATGGCTGCAATAGCATAGGCACATGGGAAAACTTTAATCTGTCATTGATCACATGAACATGTGTGTTGGTGAAGATCAATAACAAAAGAATACTCAGCCTGAACCTCAAACAAATTATCACTTGAACGGTTAACATCCCAATGTCTTCCAGTTTCTATAGACTTCTGCAACTACTTTTCCACCTTCGAGCATAGATATGTTGTCCATTTTTTGGCTGCACGATGACCTAGCTGCATATTTGACCATCATTTTAATCCACATCAATCAAGTAATTGATAAATATGTAACTCATGCTCAACCAAAATTCAAGAGTTAAAACACTCTACCAAATTTGAACACATCTCACCATATTTCTTACCTATATAAGAAATAAGATTATTACATTCTACAAAAAGTATTTGCAAAGCAACGTTTAAAACACAAAATGATTAAACTGACATATAAGTACGGTGCTTACTTGGGAAAAAGGCATTTGACCAACTTTCTTTGGGTATAGTGTCCAGAAATTCCAAAATGGTATCACCACCATCTTTTTTCAGTTCATGCACACGCCAAGGGCAACCTTCATTTTGTTTATTCACACATTCTGCTGTCACACGCTTCAAATCATTTTTCACATATACGAACTTAAACTTCTTCTCAAATGCATATGTGCACAATTTGATCCTAAACTCAGTAACCCCCTTCATATTTTTGCCCAACTTCACTAATAAATATTTTCCACTCATGAGATAAATAGAGTTTTGATTTTTTGCAGCATACTTACCCAAACATTCATTCTCATCAGTTGAGTTACTGTCTTCATTGTCTGATGAATCAATATCATCCTCTACACCTGTGCCAAACGATGAACCTCCACCACTAACAATATCTATATCCACCAATTTTTTGTTTTCATTGGATACAGATATGTGCAAAACACAAACATCCATGTCATCTTGCAATAAACATGATGACTAGTTTCTAATTGTGTACGTCAATTTCGCATGAATTCAACTCTTTAAATCGAGAGCAAATTTGACTACATAAGGCCATGTACTTGGTATCCTTGAAAGTCAGTAGTGAATAGGGGTTGTTCGATAGCATATTTAGAGGCCCGTTTTCATTTTCTGAGCCCAAATATGGATAAAAAATGCGTTCGGTGGATTGTTGACAAAAACACAGAAAATAAGTTGGGAGAACGAATTCACACGTAAAGCGTAAAACGTGAAAACGCCAAAATGACATTTCTCCATTCTCAACTCAAAATTAGAGAATGGAGAAAACACAGAGAAAATAGAAACATGCTTCGTCTACGTTGCCCTTCATCTTCGTCTTCGTCTACATCCCTTCGTCTAAGTCTGAAATAGAAATTCCTTGCTTCTCACTCTTGCAATCTTCCTACACACTCTCTTGGAAGATCTTGGTAAGAAAAATTTGTATAAAATATTTCGTTTCAGACTTGGGTTTTTCTATGTAGTGTATCTGAAACTTTTCTTCTCAGATTTCGTTTCACACTCTCTCAGAAGATCTTGCTACTCAGCCTTTTGGAAGATTTGGTACGAAATTACTTTTATTTATTTATTTATGTTTAGATTTGGGTATGAAGACTGGTGTTATTTTTGTTATTTGGGGTTTTCCTTATGTTTAGATTTGGGGTTTAGGTTTGGGTATGAAGAATCTGGTTTTCTATTTACTATGATTGTAGTAAATTGGTTTTACATTTTCTATGGTTCGATTGAAATAGTATTGCTCTCTGCACTATTGTCTGTGATTCTGTTTTCTGGTTTTTGTCAGATATTGCTTATAATTTGGGGTTCTCAAGTAATAGAGCTTGGAGAACTTAACTTTACATGTTCACCTTCCTATCTAATTTCTGGTTAGATATTGTGATAGCTTTCGTGTATATATAATAACAATCCTCTAAAATATTGAGAATATATTATCTTTGCTCATCTGTTAGAAAAGTAGGAAAGCCAACCAAAAAAGTGAGCTTCAAATTTGCCCTGTTTCCTTCGTCTTTGGAAATTACCATGCCTTGCTCTAATATGACCTTCTGAATGATTTCATTTTGGATTAGTGTGTGTATGATAACTTTTATGTTCTTTTATAGTTTGAGTTCGAGCCTGAAATAAGAACAGAAAGCAATCTTATATTTCCCTAAGTTAGTAGTGCCTTGCAAGTCAAGAGAAAATGCCTTATTGCTGTGTAGCTTTCCTGAGTTCCTATTAAATATTATATATATTATATGTTTATATTAACTTGTACTGAGCAGAGTTGTAGGTTTATGTTTGCATCATAGACTTGTAGTGCATTTGCTACAATATAAATTATATTTCCTTCAATGCATCACAGGATTTGCTACAATGCATCATAGACTTTTAGTGCATTTGCTACAATATAAATTAAATTTTCTAGGAAGATATCCTATTACTAGCAATTACTACCTGCAAAATCTCAATTGAAAAATAATGTTGAGAATGTTGAGAAATAACATATGAACGTTGATAAAAAAATGTATGGCCTAGTTTAGGTGGTGACATGAATTATGACCTTTTTATGTGGCCACATATGGATTACATGATTGAAGTTTGTCATAATTTTGTTTCTTTAAAAGGATATGGCCTCCAAGAATGTTGACGGTCAAGAAAAAATGTCATGGCCTCCAAGACATGAGACAATATTCATACATATATTGCATGAATATGTGAAGAAGGGTGACTTGCAGACATCAACTTTTAAAATGAAAGTTTGGGCAGAAATAAGTGATGAGTTGTATGCACAATGTGGACTAAAATGCACTATTCCACAACTTAAATCTAAGTTTAATAGATTGCGAAAAGTGCATTGTGACTTCTCAGACTTGATTGAGCATACAGGATTTGGGTGGGATCCTATTGCAAACACAGTGACTACCTCAGAGGATGTTTAGGCAAGTTATTTGAAGGTATTATAATAATGTCATACAACAAGTCTTTGTATTATTAGTTTTAATTGACTCCTCATATAAGAATTGGTTGTGACATTTGATATAATATAATTTTCATGGTTTGTAGAGTAAGCCAAAAGCGAAGCAATTTCGCACGCAAGGCTTAGAGCACTATCAAGTTTTAGGGGAGATATTCAACACTACTACTGCAACCGGGCAGTTGCATTATGTCTCTAGTCAACTTCCTCCTAACTCAGATGATAAACGTGAGGTAGAAAACAACTTCCTTAATACCGAAGTTCACATCGATGTTGACTTGGATGATGATGGTGACAAGCCTCAACTTGTGAGTAGTAAAGGAAAAAGGAAATGTGCAACTGTTGCTGCACTTGAGCGTCGTCCAAAGAAATGGGATAAAATGGAATCTTATTTGGATGTTTGTAGTGAAGTTATGAGTCAAAAATTACAACGGAAAAAGGAAAAGAGTCTTGAGGCATTTAGCACGTCTAAGGAGATGTATTCGATTGAAGAATGCATAGAAATTGTTGAGACAACGGGAGACATTGATAACGATACATTCAACAAGATGCTAGAAAAGATAGTGCTTATTGAATGGAGGAAAAGATAGTGCTTATTGAATGGAGGAAAATCTTTGTTACAATGCTAGCAGCTAGGAAGAGAGCTTGGTTGGCTAGTCTTTAGGATTACTATTTATGTTTGTTGTTGAGAGGATATTTATGAATTGTTCTTATTATTATGTTTGATTTTGTGACTTTAATTTGTATGCATATTTATGGATGTTTGTGACTTTAATTTGTAAGCATATTTACAAAGTTTTGTGACTTTAATTTATATGCATATTTCCAGATTTTTGTGACTTTAATTTGTATACATATTTCTTTATTGAATTTGAATATTTGAAGGTACTAGACATGTCTACAATGAATGAAGACAATCACTCCGATAGTGATTCAGATCTTGAAGAAATGGCGCAAATATGATAATTTGTATGTATATTTATGAATATTGGCAATCATATGTAGATAGAACGCCATGTCATAACTCTGTTTTATCTGGGCATGAATATGTTTAAGAATTGTTGAATGAGCATCCAGATAGAATTTATGACTCGTTTCGTATGGACAAACATGTATTCCAAAGGCTGTGTTACACACTTGAGAGTTTAAATTTGCTACAGAATGATAGACATGTGAGTACTCAAGAGGCAAGAAATTTTCTTATTTATAGTGTCTCATAGTATCCACATGCGAGTGGATGCTAAGCGTTTCCAACGATCTAAGGACACTATTCATAGACAATTTAAGTGTGTTTTGGGAGCTTTATGTGCATTAGCACCACGCATTATAAGACCACAAAGTCAAGGGGAAACATCTTCTCAAATTTTGAATAACCCAAAGTATGATCCTTATTTTGAGGTGAGAAATTGATTCTTTTATTTATTTTATTACTATAATTATATATTTTAAATTATATTTACTTTAGTTTGAATATATGAATTTATCGCAGAAGTGTATTGGTGCAATTGATGGAACTCATGTTGTTGCTTGGGCACCAGCTCAAAAGCAAACCTCATATTGTGGTAGGAAGATCCTTATTACTCAAACTGTCATGTGCACTTGCTCTTTTGACATGATGTTCACTTTTTTTTATAGGGGATGGGAAGGGACTGCAAATGACTCTAGGGTGTTCATAGATGTAGTGATGAGGCCATAAAATGAGTTTCCTTTTCCAGATGAAGGTATAAACATAAGATTACAATCAATAGTATTATGTACATTATTTGTGTTATGCAAGTAATAAATTAAAATTACAGGGTATTATGTTGTGGATGCTGGATATTCAAACGTGCATGGATTCTTGGCACCTTACCAAGGTGAGAGATATCATTTGCGTGATTATAGAGGACCTCGACGAGCACCAAGAGGTCCTATGAAGTTGTTCAACTATAGGCATTCCTCATTACATAATGTAATTGAGCAGTGTTTTGGTGTTTTGAAAGCTCGTTTTCCAATTTTGAAATTGAAGCCTTATTATCCTCCAAGAAGGCAACGACGAATTCCTATTGCATGTTGTGTGTTACATAATTTTATAAGAAAAAAAGCTCGTCGTGATAGGATGTTTTGAAGAGTTTCAAGTTGAAGACATGATCATTGATTTAGAAAATACAACACCACCGAATATAGATATGTCTGCAGGAAATATTGCACAAATGGGTGACATTAGAGACAAGATCATAGCGGATTTGTGGCAGAATTTTATTTAGTGCTCATAACAACATGATTTTAAATTTTATATTGCATATTTTTCAGATATTTGTGAGACTATGAGAGATTTGATCTATGATTTAAGATGATATACTTGGAGGACATGAGAGCATTTTGAGTTAGCTAATGCATGTATTGGATAATGATAATTAATTTGACCATTGCACAATTTTACTGTTGACGAACGCATATTCACTGTTTTTGTCATTTTCATATGTTCATACCGGACACGTTTTCTCTGTTTTTGTTCTCGAAAAATGTTTTCCAATTAGCGTACCAGACGCATTCTTGAATCTTGAAAATGCAAATCCTTTTTCTCATTTTCATTTTCTGAAAATATTCTCGGAAAACATTCTCCAAAAACATTATCGAACGAACCCAAAGTTTTCAAACCAAAACGGCATCTACCAACTATCGACCCCTCCATCCCTGTTTAAATACAAACACACAAAATTAAAGAAATAAGCATCCTTAATAACAAGAGCAAATACCTGTGCTCCAGATATATATATATATATATATATATATATATATAGACACACATTTGATTCACAAAATTAAAGAAATAAGTATTCGTAATCTCTGATAGTGTACCTATGGTATACACGTATACCATAGGTACACTATCAGAGATTACCTGTAAGAGAGATTCATAAGTACAAATTTCGAAACAGAGAATCTTAAATTGTTAATTAAGTTTCAAAACTGAGAATGCACTGCCACTAAAACAGAGAATGACAAACCAAATTCTGACTGTTATTTTGACATTATTTACTTATCCCTTCTATCCCTAGAAAGGTTCAACTGTGTATTGTGAACCTTCTCCATACACTTATAATGGACAACATTGTGATATAGGTGTTGTACTCTCATTCTCGATTTTTTGGGTTTAGCACCTATCATATAGGTAACCTCATGTCGTATAGGTAATCGCCGACACTGTAACTATATCACAAGTATATGCCAAAAGTTTATGGGATGCCATAGGTACAATGTCAAACAAGGACATAGCTTAAGAATTAATCTGGTAGATACACCAAGTTCCCAAACTCTCACAAGTGGCTTTTGGAGACTTGGATGCTTCTCTTGGTTCCTCTCAAAGAAAACTCTATGTGTGTGTGTGTATATATATGTTAGGCAAGAAGAAAAGATTGGTTCTTCTTACAAACAAGGTTGATGGATGAAAGCTCCTATTAGGAAGAAGAGAAGTCTCTTGACTTTTAGAAAAAAAAAAATTGGCTACCTGTTCTGGACCTCCACTACATACTTAGTGCTATGTTATTAGCCTCACATCACCAATAAACAAATGATAATCAAATGCGCGCACACACATACTCAATAAGAAAATTAGATTTGAGATATGATTATAACAAGAAAATTTAATGATAATAAAAGTAGAGAAAATTAATGTGACCAAAAAGGAAGACTGTATATATGCAAATTTGCAGAATCTTTACATGATCTCCATCCCAAAGTAAAAACATTGGGACCATTTGGAAACCTCATTTACTAAAGAAAAAACCCTTGAGCACCATCATTCATGCTTTACATGAAGAAAATGAGCATAAAAAGACAAGGAGACTGTGACCCCACTTTGAGAAATGTGGAAAGAACATTGGGTTTCTAATGTAAGTGCCTTTCACTGTTGCAAAAACTAGACTACCAAACAAAACTAACTCAACTATCAAAAAACTAAAAACAGAACTGCTACTAACCTCTGCAAAAGAGTGATCCTAAAACCATTACCAAAGAGACTCAGAGACTGAGAATGAAAAAAATCTCTGCTTCAACTGACTAAGTAACTAATTGTGAGAAAAAGTTTCATAACCAGCTGCCCCATACTGATTTGTGCCTTCTTCAAACTCCATAGCTGGAAGCTCATTTTCACTTCAACATTTCTAATTTCAGAAATTTTTTTATGCACCAGACCTCAAAAACAACATCTAATTAAGCAAAACAATTAATGAGCCATAGTTACAAATTTCCAACAAAATGATTCACCAATTAACTAGTGAGCCAATATGGATTACTGACACCATTCACACGGATAGAATTTTGTTAAAACGACATTTGGTCAATTACCTATACGACAGGGTTTAGTTGAGGCAAACCCAGTTATGATCTCTATTTATTAGCCAAAACCCCAACACCTACGAATTAGTTATGATCTCTGTCTATTAGCCACCAATACCTACACACGAATTATGATCTCTGTCTATTAGCCAATACCCCAATTACCTGTAGGACAGGAACTAAGATGTTTGAGATTTTGGAAAACCCAGTTATGTTCTCTAATCTAACTTGAAGATATAGAAAAACAAGAACTAAGACGTCTAAGAATTTTGAAACCTTGTGGTTGCGTCTTAGTTTTCTACAACGAAAGAGCATGACTATTTGGGATCAACCGTGATTTTGGTGATCTATCATTCTCCCTCCTTTAATTTTCGTGTATACATAATGGTAGGAGTCGTAAATACATAAAAATTGGTGGACATAGTATTTGCTTAAGTGGCTACACGACTGGGCTTGAGGACTGGAATTAATAGGTAACAACTAGTGTCCTGTAATCAAACTATATTTCTGAAATTGGACCCATATCTCAAAGCCACTAATAATTATATCTCTAAGAAAATTATCAGAGTCACATGTACACTTTGTGAAGCAGTTGGTTGATATATATATATATATATGTCCCAAATAGTGTGAATGAAGCACTAGAAGACTCAAAATGGAAATAAGTCATGAATGAAGAAATAAGAGCCCTCCAGAAGAATGCCACATGGAAGCTCGTACCTTTACCTCAAGGAAAGAAGACAGTGGGATGTATGTGGATCTATACTATAAAACTTAAAGCAGATGAATCCATTGAAAGATATAAAGCTAGATTGGTGGTGAATAGGTATACACAATGATATGGGGTGGACTACCATGAGACCTTTGCCCCAGTAGTCAAGATCAACATTATCAGAGTCTTATTGTCCCTAGCAGCAAATCTAGATTTGCCACTACATCGATTCAATGTTAAAAATGCATTCTTACATGGAGACTTGGAAGAAGAGGTATACACAGATTTACCACCAGGATTTAATTTAGCTCATGACAAGAAGAATCAAGTTTGCAAACTCAAAAAGTCATTATATGGGTTAAAACAATCTCCTAAGGCATGGTTTGGAAGATTTACTAAGTTCATGAAGAATTTTGGATACACTCAAAGTAATTCAGACCATATCCTCTTCTTGAACCATGATGGAGGATAAATCACTGCATTAATTATTTATGTGGATAACGTGATTGTAACTGGAAACAACGCATGAGAGCAACATAAGCTACAAAAGTATTTGTCTCAGGAATTTGAGATGAAGGATTTAGGTGCTCTGAAATACTTCCTCAGAATTGAAGTAGCAAGGTCAAACACTGGTATTTTATGTCTCAAAGGAAGTATGTGATGGATCTACTCACTAAAACAAGAATGCTTGGATGTAAGTCTGCTGACACACCTATTGAAATGAATCACAAGTTATGTGAAGACACGGACGGTTTGCCAAACCAATAAGGAACAATACCAGCTCCTTGTTGGAAGATTGATATATTTGGCACACATACGACCAAATATTGCATGTACTGTGAGTGTGGTTAGTCAGTTTATGCATTCACAGAGTGTTTCTCATAGGAGTGCAGTTGATCGGATCTTAAGATATTGAAAGTCATCCCCTGGAAAAGGGTTAATATTCTCAAATCATGAAAATCTTGAAGTTGTTGGATATACAGATGTTGATTGGACTGGTTCCATTACAGATAGACACTCTACATTGGGTTACTTTACATTCATTGGAGGTAACCTAGTCATTTGGCCGAGTAAAAAATAAAATGTGGTTGCTTGGTCTAGTGCAGAAGTAGTGTATCAAGGTATGGCTCAAGGAGTTTGTGAATTATTGTGGATCAGAGGACTCTTGACCGAATTGGGTTTTAAACTAGAGAAGCCAATGAAGTTACATTGTGATAACAAGTCAGTGATCGATATTGCCCATAATCTTGTTCAACATGATCGAACTAAACATGTCGAGGTGGATAGACATCTCATCAAAGAAAAAATTGAGAACAATATCATTAGGAGATATTCTCCTAATTAATTACTGTATCTATTTCCTTATAAAGCACCCTTATAAAATCCTATATATACCTTCTTATGGAGAAGAATACAATTAACCTAAAGTATTCAAACTGTCACATCCCAGATCGGCTCTGCCGTAGCATGATATTGTCTGCTTTGAGCCCCCGCCCTCACGGTTTTATTTCTGGGAACTCATGAGCAACTTCCTAGTGGATCACCCATCCTGGGATTGCTCCAACCCAAACTCACTTAACTTCGGAGTTCCCGTGGAATCTGAAACCAATGAGGTCTCAAAAGGCCTCGTGCTAGATGGAGGTGGGCATGTACATATAAGGCACATCACCCCCTATCTATTGATCGATGTGGGATGTTGCAATCCACCCACCTTAAGGGCCCGACGTCCTCGTAAACACACTTGCACCACACGGCAGAGTGGCTCTGATACTATTCTGTCGCATCTCGGATCGGCTCTGCCGTAGCACGATATTGTCCACTTTAGGCCCCCGCCCTTACGGTTTTGTTTCTAGGAACTCATGAGCAACTTCCCAGTTGGTCACCCATCTTGGGATTACTCTAACCCAAACTCGCTTAACTTCAGAGTTCTCATGGAATCCGAAACCATTGAGCTCCCAAAAAGCCTTGTGCTAGATAAAGGTGGGCATGTACATATAAGGCACATCACCCCCTCTCTGTTGGTCGATGTAGGATGTTACACAAATCATAGTCATATGTTAGCATGATGCATGCGGTTGAAGTAATGAATTTGCTTAAGACCGTATTGAGAAATAAAGATTACTGAAAGAGGAGAGATTGGAATCCAAAAAAGAAAGAAAAAGAGAACAAAGAGAAATGGCGGTGGTGGAGTTGTATTGGGTTGTGATACCTTCCACCTCTAGGCCCACGACCTCCGCCGCTGCAAGTACTTCGCCGCCCTATTATCCGATCAATGGCTGGTAAGGTTTTGGTCCATGTGGCTTCAAGAACCACATCCACCATAACTAGTCACAACCTCTTCGATCAACCCCAAAGGCAGGGAAGTATCAATCTCCTCACTCAAGCACTCCCTCCTTATCCCAGCGGACTAAGGGACATGGAAGCTCACCCTCCTTTTCTCTGTCTTTAAAACTTATTCTTAAAATGAATGAATTTTTTAATAATTTGTTGACCGAATTGTCCCTTAACAAATAACATAAGTTAAAAATATTTGATAGAAATTGAGGATTGTCCTTGAGTTGCTTCAAATTGAAACCATAGGGACAAAATTGACCAAATTGATACATGGATGAAAGTGGTAAAAGTGGCAAACTATAGGGACCAAAAATGACTTTTTGCCATATTATTTCAAAATGTTTATAGAAAAAAAATAATCATATGAATAATACACTTCTTGTAAGAGCGTTGTTGTAACCTCATATATTTTCTCCACAAGCAGGAAAATACATATCATAATATTATAGTATTTGCTTGATCCTACTAATACTCTAACAACCTAAATCTTACGTAACAGGTGTTGCCTCCACCACCATGGGAGACAAGAACATGACTTCTAACCCTACCCCAAGACACCTACAACAAACTTCATTAGTCCTACTTACGTTGTGAACATACAACATGACATGAGTCATATCATGACATGTGAACAATATAAACTTGTTAGATCATACTGTAGAGGAATTCTAATTGACTTCACCGTGATTTCCATGGGTAGAATGGCGTTGTGCTCATATGTTAAAGCATAAGGTGTCGTCTCAATGGTAAATCTATTTGAAGTTCTATATGCCCATAAAGTTTATGACAATTTTTCATGTCATTCTCTCGGGTTGTTCTAGCATTTTCCTTATGATATTGATACTGCCTGGCCATTAGCTTAAGCATAATTGGGTATGAAGGTGTGATAGCGCTGTGGTTTGGGATTGTTGGATTGACCAATTATCCCACCTTTCCCCTTCTAAGATAAGAATTCGTTTCTGATAATAGGTTGGGTGTAAAGCTTCATGGGGATGTGATTCAATGTCTTTGCTTATGGGTTGAGAGGAGAAGGGGTGAGAGAGTATTTTAATTTTAAAAATTTTCTTTTTTAAATATTTTTTATATAAATATTGTTTATTTAAAAGCAACGAATTTTTTAAAATAATTTATGGACCAAAATGCTCCTCAATAAGTAACGGCAGTTAGAAGAACTTAACATAAATTGGACAATGTCCTCGAATTACTTGAAATTAAAAAATCACATAAACGAAAGTGACTAAATTGAAATCACATGAACCTTAATAGTATTTTAAAAAAAACCACAATAACCAAAAGTGACTAAATTTCTTTATGTGACAAAATTATTGCGCAAGTCGTATATTTAAAATAAAATAAAATGGACTTTTGACTGAGAAGCGTAAAACACCTCCCATATCGCGACAATTGAAATTGCCAGAAAAGAGAAAGTGAAACGTTCTCTCCCACCGAATAAATAAGCCAAGGGATATCTGGTGGAGTGTTCATTTTTGTCTTGGCAGACCCAAAAAGGAAAAAAGAAAAAGAAAAAAACCTTCATATTTGTCTTCTTGCCATTGTGCCACTTGGTTATTTTCTGGGGCCCCCAATGAATGTGTAACTAAAAAGTGAATTTCATATACACATTGATTTTATTTATATATATTACATGTGCATACGAGGATCAAGCCTCACCCACATCTAGCCAATCAAAGTTCTCACTTCTATTGCTCCTCATCACCTCTCCAATTCCCTCTTCACTCATTTCTTATCTGTCATATGTCAAACTCAAAACTAACCAACACAACACTCTCCATATCTCTAAGCCCATCTCCTCCCTTCCCCTTTGGCCCTCCTAACTTCTCCTACTTCTCCTCTTCTTCCTCCTTCACCACCACCACACATACACAACTCTCTCTCTCTCTCTCTCTCTCTCTCTCTCTATGGCAACCAATTCTTTCCAATCCGTATACCACAATCACCACTCACTCCTCAACCACCACCACCACAACCACCACATAGAGATTGCTCCTTCCACCCTCTCCTCCACTCTCTTCCTCAAACCCACCACCACAAACACCCCAAACACCATAAGCACTTCTTCTCTCTCCTCCACCAAAACCTTCTCAATCTCACCCACCACTTCACTCTCCACACCCTCCTCCACCCAAGCCATCTCCTTTGACCTCCTACAGCAGCACCTCTCCGCCCAAAACTTCCGTGAAGCGGACGAAGAAACCCGCCGCCTCCTCATCGTCCTGGCCGGAGAACAAGCCCAGAAGCGAGGCTACGTCTTCTTCTCCGAGGCCCAGTTCATCTCAGAAGCCGACCTCAAGGCCATTGACGACCTCTGGAGGCAGCACAGCAACAACAAATTTGGGTACAGCGTCCAGAGAAAAATATATGGCAAAGTGAGCAATGACTTCACCAAATTCTTCATTAAGGTTGGGTGGATGAAGAAGCTGGACACAGAAGTTGAGCAATTCAACTACAGAGCCTTCCCCAATGAGTTCATCTGGGAGCTCAACGAGGACACACCAGAAGGCCATCTGCCATTGACGAATGCTTTGAGAGGAACCCAGCTGCTCAAAAGCATTTTAGAGCATCCCGCTTTCAAGCCCACAGAGGAAGAGCTGCTTCAGGCTAAGGTTGCAGGTGAAGACATGGGCAGTGGAGTTACAGGGTTGAAAGGGTTCATGGATGGCTCCAAAAGCAAAAGAGTGCTCAAATCAGACTATAGCTTTTGAATTTGAAATATGATCAATTTGAATGTTCTGGAACTTACCCAGTATCAATATTTGCACAGGAAATTAAAATGACATTTGGGGTTTTTGTAACAATTAATTAATGTGCTTGGTTCATGATTGCTTCTACCTTTTTATTTTTTAATTCTTAACATTTTTGTGTGTGAAATGGGATGATACTATTTTGTTATTTTCGGTTAGTCATAGATTGTGACAGGGAAAATCAAACATAAATAATATTTCATAATTGATCGAAAATAACAAAACAGTCATTTTACACAAATGTTTCTCCTGAAAAAGCATGATTTAAGTGAAAATATTATTGTTTATATAAAATATGAATGAGCAGCAGATGCAGAGCAGAAGACTTTGTGAAATGTGCCCAATGGAAAGCAAACTGCAAATGTGTAGAACTTTACAGGGCGTTTCATTTTGGCGTTTCGAAACGATGGAGAAGACACATCAAAATCAGACCCTGCCCTTCTCTGTCTTGCTGGTTGTCGTTTTGTGATATTTTTATATTGGCCTTGTAAATGGGAAGCTAGGATGGGAAAATGCTGCTTTTGCTTTTCATATATATATATATATATATATATATATATGCCATATTCTTGGTAACAATATATATGCCATATTCAAAGAAAACATGCGTGGCATATAAATTATTAGAGTTAATCATTTTATTAGTCTTTAAATTTAGATCCGATTTGCATTTAGATCTCTCAATTTTCAAAATTGTTCCCGTAGTCCTTTAACTTCACTTTCGTTAGGACAAATGGTCATGCCGTCAATTTTGTTAACTTTTTCTGTTAAATATAGGGGCAAAATTGTATTTTTAAATTAAAACTAAAAAAATGAATAAAAATCATATCTTTAAATAACAATAAAAGAAATTCAAATAAAAAACCAACCAAAAAAATATGAATAATACTAGTCTTACCATATTTTTTATACCATAATTTTATACCACATGATGTGGTGGCTGATGTGTACATACCACATCATGTAAAATATTAGTTTCTGTTTTTCTAATTTTATTTATTAAAATACACTTCATTCATTTAATTGATATGACATATGATATGGACATGCCACATCATGTGGTATAGAAATGTGGGATAATAATGTAGTAAGTGTATCATTACTCAAAAATATATATCAAGTTTGGGGGAGTAGAAATTGGGATAGAGGGGGAGAGAGAGAGTTTAATTTTAATTTTTTATTCATATTTTAATCAATTTTGATACAAAAATACCATTTTGCCCCTCCATTTAACAGAAAAGTTAACAAAATTGACTACAAGACCATTTGTCCTAACGAAACTGAAGTTGAAGGACCATGAGAACGATTTTGAAAATTGAGGAACTCAAATGCAAATCGAGTTTAAGTTCAGAGACTAATAAAACGATTAACACAAATTATTAATTTTTTTTAATGAGAAAAATTTTAGGGGGAGATTGGCTACTCTCACCACCAGCGCCAGGGCATACATACAACTTCCACTGGAATGACTTATTCATGGCACTCAACTGCCACCGGTATGGATTTATGTAAGAAATTACAGATTACACACTAATGAAGATTGTTGACAACGAGACTCGAACACTTATAGAACTAAACACAATACAAATGAGTGGCATATAAATTAATTACAAAGAAGGAGCATTACAATTTACACGAGACTTGAACATTATAAGGAAGGAGAAGTATATATTATCGCCCGACCATCCACCAAATTGGGTAGGTCTGAATTAATTTACAAAAGCACAGACATATGGCATTGGTGTCACACTATCTACACATAGATTTTGCTTTATTTGTATCGACCCGTGCTCACATCGCATGCCATTAGATTTTTCTTTATTTAGAATTGCTTTTTATTTTATCTTTATATGTACAAACTTTTGTTGGAAATGAACTCTTATTTCCTTTTTATTTCTTTAATATTTTGAAATTCTTTTCTTTCTTTTTTAGTACAAGAATAATCTAAAAAGAGGGACTTTCTTACACAAGTGTTATGGGCGGTTTGAACATGAGATCACTAATCTACAAGTAAAGGTTATTTTTCATTGGGTTAGACCCTGTTAGCTTTGAAATATATTTATATATATTCTTTAAATGACAACAACTTGGGGTTATTTGAAAATTTAATCATAAAGGCCTTTTGTTTGGAACTCTCGTGGCACCTTGACAGTGTGTGTGTGTGTGTGTGAGAGAAAATTATCTTCCCCTTCCTAAACATGACAAATAAAACAAAATAAAAAACAAAGGCCTTTTGTTTTATATACAAAAAATTATATATCAAAATTACCCTTCAACAATGACAAATCAATATTCAGATGCCTTTAAAAAAAAAAATCAAAATTCAGATATCTTACACAATAAAATTAGGGATAATTACAGAAACAACTCATGAGGTTTAACGGATTTTAACAAATCTCTCTCCACTTTTAAACCCACCAAAAAGAAACCCCAACATGTACACCCCTGACGTAACCCCTTTAGAAGAAAATTTAGGCCATAGAATATAACGTAATGTAGAGAAAAATCTAATGGCATGCGTTGTGAGCACGATATAAATAAAGCAAAATCTGTGTATGATGGTGTGACACCAATGCCATATGCCTGTCCTTTTGTAAACTAATTTAAAATATTATATGCATGTAAGTCCAATTATGCTCCAAAGGGTACACACACTCGGGCTTATTATTCCTGTATTTTTTTGGGTAATGATTTCCCCACTTCAATTTTATCCACTTACACTTCTTTTTTAGTTATAAAATGAAGTGTAAGTGGATAAAATTGGAATGGAGAAATCACCACTCTTTTTTTTTCCTTTGAAATGAACAGTCTAGGGGTACTTTGGTGCTTTCATACCTTTTTTTACTTTTTATGACGTTCATTTTCTACCTCGGTGAACTTAATAACTAAATGTACGCTTTCAGTAAACTAATTTAGCAAACAATTGTTGACCAATTCAGATTAAAAATGTCTAAACCATTAGAAACTACACAAGGTAAATTACAAGACCAATAATACAATTTAGCCACATTTTTTTAAAATCAAATATCCCTCCAGATCTCGTCAAATCCGAAGAGCCTAGTACCTTCGACAAACTAATATTATACATTTTCACCCAAAAATATATATTAACACTGCATGCTAAACAAATATGATCCGTGACGAACACCTAGGAGGCATAGAACACAATGGCGCATGCCCCTCATTCTCTGAGGCCATTACAGCAGAGCCACCGCTTGCTTGCGCTCAAATCAAATACGTTACAATGAGCTAATCTTGCCATTGTAAAACTTGGGGCAAAATGGATTTTGATTTTCCAACTTGGACAAACCAGGCCAAGTGGAATTAGAAATGAAACTTTCACACAAGATACAGAATCCCCACAATTCATGCCTGTGATGGGAAATCCTGCATGTAAAGGAGATAATAAGGCTAAATTCATAATTTGCTTGTTCTTCATTTTCTTTGAAACAAAGGATATATTTCTTTGAAGTCAAGAAATTTAGTTGGGAGCAAATTTAAATCAAAGATTAGGAACAGTGAAAGGGATAGAAGAACTGGTACAACTTGCCCCACCAACCCAAAATAATAAAGAAAAAGAAATATATATGAGGTGGAGAGACAAATATGATCAAGAAAAAGAATGATTGATAATGTTCTGTAATGTAAAACAATTGCATATTACATTCTGCAGTTGGGTGCCATTTATCAAAAGCTAATGCAAAAGTAAACTAACTGGTAAAAGCAGCTAACAAGAGGTTCTTTTCCTCATTGCATCATGAAAGATTGTGATATCTGAACTGTTCGAACTTCGAATAATTCTACGTATTGTTACAAAAAATTTCATTTATAAAAATAAAAAAAATCTTAACAGTATTACATTAGTTCTGACAATCACATGGGCTTTATAGGTGCTTCAAACCCTTCTGAACTCTCTCAATATACAGATATCTGTTACTAAATTATTTATTACAAGTCATGCAAGGTCTTTTCTAATCCCTCAACAGATTTAATTTTCAAATAATACATGTATCGAAAGAAATTGAACTTACCAGATACTGCACTATGCACAAGGGCACAGTCTCCTGGTATGCTGATGTGAACCATAACAAGAAAGCATTGATTGTGTTTGAGTAAACAAGCATGCTCCAGGATTCTAAAAGTAATAAGCGATATTAATGCTCCATTGAGTGTCATATACTTCGAGCAAAAGAAAAAATGTCACAATTTTCTTTTACTTTTTTCTGGCTTCCTAGAGAAAAAACATGCTAAACACAAATTCTTCCAATAAGATGTTTCTGGTTCCAATTGTTTCTTTTAGCAAAACAGTAAGAACAATGATTGCATCTGAGCTAAATAATGTTTAGATCATGGTTTTAAAATTGATACACTAAATCTTCATAATATTTTGCAAAATTGGCAAGTGTGGCACCACAAAAAAAATATAAAAGAAACAAATCCATCGAAGCCAGAGAAGTACTGATTTATTATCAAGGAGGTATGTGGCACAGAGGAATGGAGAGCCTAGCCTATCATATTCTTTAACTTTAAAGTAGTTAATGTGCCACCAAAAGGAAAGAGATCACTCAAGTGCTGAATCATCATAAGGACAGGCACATCTTCCATGGGCAATTTCATATATAAATTAACTGCCAAAGTATGAGCTATCTCAGTTAGACTCATAAGATATGAGAAAAAGTACATTGCTCTATCAGCAATCTACATAGAATACACAGGACTTATAACTCTTAAGTTAAGGCCTTATGTCATTATATGTCTATAAAGCCTCATTTCGGCAGCCAAGTAGGTAAGTCCATATGTGAGAACAGTGGTATATCAATAATCATTAAATCAACCTCCACAATAAAGGTGTGGTACAAGATCCAAGGCAGTGCATAGGGCACTCAATAAAATTTACTACAAGACAACTATGTGGAAGTTTTGCAATGCATGAACTTTGAAACTAAAATAATTACTAGCCAGAAAATGCCTATGTGGTAATAATAATCTCCAGTGACTGAAATTTCTTTGCAGAAATACAACAAATTCTTTAAAGATAGAATGATTGTGTCAAAGCTATTGCAGGAAATATGATTCTCTGTATACTAAAACACAATTCCAGAACACAGAAACTTTAAAGCTGAAAAGGAAGCATACCAAATCTTCAGGAGCATCATCAACAACTTCAGCAGGTTGGTCTGGACCAATACTTGCCAGGCAAGTTCCCTTGCAGCTCATATATTTCTGCATACTGTTCAAAACAGAATTACAGAGAATTTAAAAAATGGTACAACCATATCTGGTTAACATTTCCTAAATGAAAAACTAAGGGAAACAAGAACTTTATTGAGAACAAAAAAAAAAGAAAAAAGAGATAGACATGCACTCCAGCAGAACACCTAAACTACAAACAAAGACTAGCAAACCAACCAACAAAGCAAAAACTCCCACACAATTGAGAAGAATAGCACCAAAAAATTACCATTTTGGATGCCAACACTAAAAAGAAACTTCCAGAAATGTTTAGACACTAATATCCATGATGCATGAAATCTAATTCTATCCCAATGAATCAATATAAGTGCCATTTAAAATGTTACATGGAAAATAATGAAATTAAAAAAAGAAGTTAAAAGTAAGTCAAAAGCCTGTATAAAATATTTTGTTATTGGGTCTGGATACAGTTAGAGGGAGAGGAAAGTAAAATGTGGATGAAAGAACATACTTCAGTCAAGAAAACCAAGTACAAGAATGCTAGATTTAATAACCTGATCCACACACATGATATATACAGAGCCATCCTCAAGCAGGTGCGGCCTGTGCACCCACACAGGGACCAAGCATGGGCTCCAGTGGATATTGGGATTGCACAATTCTCATAAATTAAGTAGTTGTATTTGTGTAGGAAGGAATTCCACAAGTCAACAGGAACAAACAAGTCTACTCCATGGTAAAACTCAACAAATGAAGTAGGAAGTATGTATTCGTCCAATCAGTACAGCACCTAAATATGAGCTTGAAATAATGGGTCCCACACCCTTATAATTGGACTTTGGACGAATTTCTGAAATATGGATTTAGGCTAAAAAATAATTCGGGCATTTTTACCACAAAAAAATAGGCTTCTTGAAATTGAAATTTTTGCTAAATCTTCAGTCACTTGAGCTGTGTGGCTATTTTTATAAATAAATAAAGCAAAAGGCATACTAATTAAACCTTTTTTTATAAGGAGCATACTAATTAAACTTAAGTGTTTAAAAATAAACTCTTTGGGTATACTAGATGGAATAATTATGTATCTATCGAAACCAAATTTAGAAGGAAAAAAAGAAAAAGTTAAACCTCTTTACTACAAACATATTTACGTTTTTTTTTCTTTTTTCAATTTAATAGCTCCACACTTCTCTATTTACAGAGAGATACAGCACAATTTTTTCTTCAATATCATGGTGATATAGGAAAAGAACCGACCACAATTTGAATATGCATGCCTTTTATTTTCACTATAAAAGGTCCATGTTTTTAGTTTTGTATGGTGCCCCATAAACCTCAGGACCACCCCTACATGTCTGTGTGTAGGTGTGATGGCAAAGTTTCAATTAAAAAAAATACAAGAATAATAAATTTTACAAAATTAAACTACCTAATGCTCAACTTACATGTCACACTGATTAAGTACCAAAAGCTTATTTGGAACACATGATTGTCCCTTTGACTTGCAAACTGAATCGCATGATTGACCTCGCCTGCCATCCACACCATAGCAAGTTCTTGTGAATCAGCTATGGTTGAGATTTTCTATAAATATATACATATATAAGTACATATAGATCAAGAAATAATTGTTGTGAAACCTCACCTTCCAACAAGAACATTAATGCCATTCAGTCTGGCTTCTAAAAATGTATAATTTGCACCTGTTGACATATATTTTAAAAAGCACAAAATTAATCCTTTTAACTAGCTGTAAACTGCACCCAGTCAAAAAGATAGGTATTGATTTAATCAATAAATCACTATACCATATAAGAAAGTCTAGTGAGAGAGGTAAGAAAAAACACAATCGATATAGAACAACCATACTCCAATAGTCCAGTTCAAAATTAATGCAAGTATATAACAAAGAACCTTCTACCTAACAAAGTTTTATCAACCTATCATGCTAAAGTGCTTAACGTTTGATATGGCACTGGCATTACTATATTCACTGTTACATTTAATTTAATTTATCTCATAGCAAAAACAGTATAATGAAGCTTCAAATAGTGTGGAAAGAAAACCAAATTTAATAATGAGGCTTCTAATAAGAATGTGTCTGATACCCGTGGGAAATTATGGGAAATCAGAAACCTATGAGGGATAATACTTACTAGATTCTAGTTCACTTTGTTTATATAAGTAATTTGTGGTATTAGTTAGCTCCTCTTAAGATAGCAAGAAGGAACCGCCTTTTTCAGAAACCGTTAGTAGCTTGATTTTGAAGGTATGAGGTGCATGGAAATTCCTTACTTGGTCTGATCCAAAATCAAAAAGGTTATGCAGCTGCTTGCCACTATGTGAAAGTCTTCTTCCCTAGTATGGTGCTAGGTTTCTCGAGGTTAGTCTAGGGGTCTACATCCCAGGCTACCCATTCTAATTTCTTTATCTGTGTATCACTGTATCTTAGTAAGATTATATTCGCTCTCGAGTAATTTTTCAGATCATCCTACATATTTAGGTTACTATAAGAATAACGAAAGGTCTTTTTATAAGAAACAATTACTTTACCAACTAGCTTTTAGCCTAGTGGTACTTCTCTTCCGAATGTTGGACGAGGTAGATCCCAAGTTCAATTTCCACCCCTCTGTTGATATTTAAAAAAAGAAAAGGATACCAAAAGAAAGACGGACAAGTTCTCCATCAAGGAAAAGCTCCAACTAAAAACTAACAGCAGAAACATTTCAAATATCTAAACATCCATTGCCAATTTTTTTAAAAAAAAATTCATGCTTTCAATGAAGGAAACAGTGTATTTTTAAATCCAAAAACAACTATAAAAATTAGATGGAAACTGCATTAACAATATCATAATTTGGGCCATGAGCTAGTTATCACTTAACACATAAGCAGATAAAGGAAACAAAGGTTACACTAGTGTTGGAGGCAAGGTCACACAGATAAGGATAATATTAAGGGGGGATTACACAACTGAAAGGACTAGAAATCCAGCCACAGCCCTTGCCACACAAAAAAGAAAAAAAGAAAAAAGATAGAAAATCAACAGAAACAAGTAATAGACATGGAAGCATATGACATTGAAAGTTTATGTTCCCCCTTCTTCCCACTACCCGAAATAAATCAAAGAAATCCCCCGAACAATAAAAGCAAAAAAGGTCATAAACCTTCAAACATTTGTCCCCATTAAAATATGATTACCCACTATGGAAATTATAAACAATGTTAAAGAAGAGTACATCATAATATAATTGCCAAAGCTGGACCTTACCTGACGAATTTGATGGCAGAGAAAAAACAGTGATGGAAATCACTAAGGTAAGCATTTTCGTGGACCTGAAACGTTCAAACTTACTCAGACAGTATGACAGGCATATTGCAATCATGTAAAATAAAATCCAAATTTTTTACTGTTGTGTAAGGTAGTTTAATGAAAACAAATGAGTCAAACTTAATAAGACATCTGGGGAAGTCCAGTGTTATTGTAGTTGCTCTTGTTTATCACATTTCGATACTGAAATGATTATTAGTGTGATTTATGTTTGGCTTGTATACTTGTTGCATCCCTTTTATACAAAGTTAAGTTTTTCATGTTATGAGAGCTCTGGTTGACTATTTCATCCTATATCCAAATACAGGCGACTCAACTTCAAGTAAGTTTTTCAGTTTTGCATGTGAAAGGCCCGTAGTTGATTCAAATTTTTGGGGAGGCTTTAATAACAAATGATTGTTCCTATGAGCGTAATCTTTTGGGATCCACAATTACTCAATAATCCTAACTATACTATGAGTACTTCGACTGTAATCAAACACATATCCTGAAGTAGCCACCAGAGAAACCTATAACATAATACAGACTCACGAGATCACTCACTCCTTTCAAATCTCAGACAATTATTTGGGAAAGAAATTATTTTAATTAAAAATAAATATTCAATAAGTACAAAATTGCTTTAAAGTAAAGTATTAAACATTTCTTATCTTTTCCCTTATACTGTCTGAGAAACAATGTGGATCCTTCTAGTTTTTGTGAATATGACAACATAAATTAATAAACGACAAAACTTCTGAAGTTTCAAAAAGGATCCCAATCTAATAAAAGTATGTGGATTTTTAAACTCAACGATCAGAACAAGTACGTGGATTTTAAAACTCAGTCACCTCTCTGAAATGAATTCTCATATCAAGTTTGATCACCAATTTCTGAACGAAGTATTGAGGAGACAGTAACAGATTGCCAGCACATTGGTATCATTGGTAATTTTTTGTGACATTATTCCTGTTATCAACGCTTCATGCATAGTCTAATCCATTATTTATGTGTGTACCAACATATTAGTTAGCATTCGATAAATAAGTTTGTGAAATTGTTCGCATAATGAGGGAAACACTATCTATCCTCCATGAGTTGACAAAACCCAAAGGCCAAAAACCACCTCCAAGAAGAACAACGATTACATCATATATATGTATTGCTTACCACACTCTCAGAATTATGACGACACCTCCCAGCACAGAAATCAAAAACATTTGAATATTTCCCTGCCAAGAGAAAACTGTGAGCACACATTATCCAAGAAAAAATTTAGTTCAGGGGTAAATATATTTCTTGATTGCCTCTGCAAGGGGCAAAAAAGAGGTTTCACAAGACTCATTCCATGCAATGGATAAAGGGGATAAATAGTCAAATCGGGACTTCTAATCTTCCAAAACCTAGTAGAAATAGCAGTTGAACATTCATTTATCAATGCGCCCTAAAACTGTCAGACTCTTCATGCAAAGGTCATTTTGTGGATTTTTAATGCAGCATCAGAATAGCGAATGCTCAAGATTAGTCTCCGAGAAAAGATTCAAAACTTCTACTATTTAAAATTGTACCTGCAGTAGCTGGTTTGGCAACCTTCACATTCATTACTTGTTCCTCTTTTATCTGCACAATAAAACCCACTAATACTGAAACTTACAACATTAAAAAGAGAACAGAAAAACACAAAGGAAATAATATAGACAATGGAAAATGGTAGTACAAAATTTGAAGAATTCAAGAAATTACCCTTGAGGGATTTAGACAGCATGAAACACAATATTCATAAGAATCACAACACTCTGAAACTACATTGCAACCACTGCAGACAAAAGGGAGGCAGGAATGTTGTTAATTTGCTCAATCTTCTGATAAAGAATTTCAGAGTTCTACTTAGTGAAAAACTCACTGACAAGAGAATTTTTCTCCTTTTTCAGGGCAGCAGCGAGACTGCGGATTTAAAGACAGAGCATCACAGACATGGCCTACAATGCAAATATAGATTATATAAATAAGGGGATTAAAACTAACAATGAAGTAAACAAAACATGATAAGTTATCAGAAGATTTTTGATAAGTTATAAACAAAAAGAAGGAAAAAATGAAAACTAATGGCACAAGAAGAAACTTAGAGAGGTGCAAGCTGACCATTATCATCAGATAGTAAGTATCTTCCTAGGACAGTATTTTTGCAAATGCGCCTCCCTTGAAATCCAACATCCTTCCTGTAAATTTGAAGGGAAAACGAACAAGTTGTGAATTGTAACAGTACAAGCATATCATCAACTAGGGAAGAGCCATAACAAAAATGTACAAAATATAGCACCAAACCACTGAGACACAAGCAATCCAAAGGAGCAATTGTGTTGTCAGATAAACCAAAGAATAAAGAGAAATACAATAACCCACAGTAACAAATAGCACATTGAATAGCAGTCTGGCATTATATGACCCAAAAAAACCCTAAGAAATTTCCAATAGTAATGCATCCATATTCTTTTCAAATTCAGTTTTACGAGCAAAATTGTAGTTAAACCACCTGGAATGCCAGGGTTAAAAAGAAAAAGGAAAAAGATAAGCAATTTAATCGTGTGATGATAAGGTATTTTACAAATGCAAGCTGCCAACATGTTCACCTAAGTCTATCCATCTGGGATAAATCTAAAACTGCTGCTTCAGAGTTTGGAAACTTATAGGTATTGCTTTGGACTAGCTACAAGACATTGTAGCTTTGTCAAACTAACCTTACATTATTACACCCACATCAAATATTATGTTTTCTTCTTCTCTGTTAGTTATTGGTGGATACTGTATTAAATAAATAAACAAACAAATAAAACCCATGCCCAATACGGCAAAGCCATCAAGATTCAAAATTCAGAAGAACATAAAAAGAACCCAAGCAGCATTACCACAAGATTCAACCTTTTGCCCCCATTTCCTCTGTTTTCTCAGCAACCAAAGAGACGAACAAAAATTATATTGAAAACAGAAAACAGAAAAATAAAAAATGTACCTGATGGCTGAGATTCTTGGTGAGAATTGAAGGATTAATAGGTGAAAGAATAGCAGGAATAAGTTTAATCTGGATATGGACATTTTCATCTTGGGCAAGGAATATGGAAGAATTTTTGGGCTCTTGTGGTTCTAAGAGATGCTATTGAGAATTGGGGCTGGGTTGAATCGAAGATCATCAGGGAGGAGAAAGAAAACTTCGTCTGTATAAAAAAGCACATTCAAATCGATTGCGTCTGTTTTCTTCTGATAATTTGGAGGCAGTGTATCTAAAAACCCAACCCTCTCAAGGTTCATAAAAATTGTTAGAAGTTCGACCAAGGCGTGTACCCAATTTTTTACACTTTCAATTTTACTCTAATTTAAAAAATAACAATAAAATAGCACTTTATTTATAAATATTTTAAAAAAAAGACTATTTTTTTATTTTAAATTTAGAAAAAGACCTTCTATATATATTTTTGTTGTTGGAGCAAATACCATAAAATAGTACAAAGGATAGCAAAATAATCCGAAACTCAAATGTAAGAGGTAAGGACAATAGTGTAATCTCCAAAAAAGATTCGCGACCTGAACCGAACACAGGGAAACAAAAGAAAAGAAAAAAGAGGAATCTTGGACGCCTCTTCAATCGACCGCACCAAACAACAGTCGAATAACTGAAAACATAAACCTACAAGAGCAAAAGAAAATTAGAAAAAGAAAACAAAAAATCACAATGAAATTAGAGAAAGAAATTACATTTGATAGAACTCAAAATAATTGATGAAAACAAAACCCTGGGTGATAAGCAATTAGATATCTACATGAATATAGTTAAACCTTCTGCACTTGCTACAAATCGGATATGAATAAGATTAGCCTTAGGCCTTTTATACTTGCTACAAATCGGATATGAATAAGATTAGCAAGTATAGAAGGTCTATGCTTGCTACATTTTTCGTTTTGTTTGAAAAAGACCACCTATACTTGCTAATAGCCTGAACCGATCAAATAAGAAAAGTCATTTGATCCGGTCTAATATTCAACAAATTATTGACAAATATTCATATCCGATTTGTTAAGCTAACGAACATCTAGTGTGATAATTTGAACTAATTTTAGTTAAATAATGCAAATGTGAGGTTAATGTATGTAGAATTTAGCTGATATAGAACTATTATCAAGTAGCCAACATAGTCTAATCAAGTGGAAAAGAGTCTTGATTTGCAGACGAGAGGTCTCAAGTTCGAATCTCATGACATTATAATTGTGTGTATGTGAGAAATCCTCTATCGCTTGTATAAAAAAAAACTATTATCAAGTAACTTGGATTAAATCAATGTACTAAGAACAATATAAGTCATCACATTTCTTTGATTCAATCAATTATAGATTTTCTTTGATTCAATCAACATAATATAAATACGTAAAAAGATGGAGTGGATATGAAATCACTCTGGTCCCTCATGGCTCCGCCACTGCATGTATCAAAATATTACTAGGAATGCTCATGTCCCAGTGGACGACAACACCCACTGTGTGATTGAACCAAGCACAGGTACTTGTAAACAAATATAAAAAAGGGAGCTTTAGTTTTAAAGCATAATATAGTTTACTAATTTAGTAGAAAGAAATACAATTTAGTCTAATTAGCAAAAGGAAAAAAACCAAAATGTAACAAAAATACCATTACAAAATATGAAAATTACAACATATGCCATTTTCAGTATTTAGTTTTAAACAAAAACTGAAAAACGACATCAAACCAAAACTGAACCAAAACGACATCAACCGAAACCAAAATTGAATCACAACTCCTTCGCGCGACGTTTCAACTTCACCTCCAGAAACATCTTCAACTTCAACTCCAGAAACCTCCAGACCACCAACGATCATCGAAGACCACCAACCCATTCGTGCGACCATCATCGAAGACCACCAACGATCGAAGCCGATTCTTCATTCTCTCTTTCAGCAGTTCCAACCTATTCCCCCAAAATCTGAAACGGCGACGAGCGACGACCAGAAGCGACGACCAGCAACGACGACGATTGAAGGGTTTAGCACTCTCTTGGGGAAAAAATCGTAAGAAAATGACCCCTAACACAAATTTGCCTTTGATTTTAGGGTTCTAAAATTTTACTTACTGTCATTCTGCAATGTAGTTTAGGTTTTGGGTTTAGTTTTGGTTTGAAAACCTCTAGAAACCGAAAAATCACAAAAGAGCATCAAAACTGTTTTCTGCACTGAAGAAAACAGAAACTGCATTGTAGTTTCTGCTAAATTATTTATACTTCTTTCCATTTCACGTCATGTTGTTATGTAGTTTCTGTTATGTTTTGTAGTTCTTGTTTTGACTATGCTGATCTTTCAATTTCATGTCAAGTTGATGTATATTTTCTGGTATATTCTGTTTTTTGCATTGCAGTGAACCACAAACTGCATTGCAGTTTCTGTGCATTTCACGCCATGTTGTTATGTAGTTTCTGTTATGTTTTGTAGTTCTTGTTTTGGCTATGCTGATCTTTCAAATTCGTGTCAAGTTGATGCATATTTTCTGGTATATTCTGTTTTTTGCATTTTAGTGAACCACAAACTGCATTGCAGTGAACCACAAACTGCATTGCAGTTTTTGTGCTTCTTGAATGTTGCTTATTTCACGCCATGTTGTTATGTAGTTTCTGTTATGTTTTGTAGTTCTTGTTTTGGCTATGCTGATCTTTCAATTTCATGTCAAGTAGATGCATATTTTCTGGTATATTCTGTTTTTTGCATTTTAGTGAAAGACAAACTGCAGTGCAGTGAACCACAAACTGCATTGCAGTGAACATTGCAGTTTCTGTGCTTCTTGAATGTTGCTCAGGTTGATTTGTGAAGCAAAAAGAAGGGCCCCCTACACCTGCACAGGTTGATTTGTCCCCAAATGAAGAACTCACTCTAAATTGGATTTTGCAAAATCCATATCAGTTTCCATTTGAGGATGACACAGAATGTGCTCAACAAAATTCATCTTCGTAAGAATTGTGTCTACTCAACCATTCATTACAATTTGAAATCATTCAAAACCAAAAGCTAATCTCGTATTCATTTGCAGGTTGGATTGCGGCATGTTCGTCATGTTCTACATGGATAAAATAGCACAAGGACAGCCCATTCCAAAAAGTGTGGACAAGAAATTCATGAATGAATATCGAGCACAATATGTCACAAAACTCCTACACCACAAACACTGTGTAATTAATCGTCTCTAGTGATTTGCCTTTCGTTAACTCAAGACAATATGTATCTTAATTCTTGTGGATGTTTGTAAATATTTCTAGTTATGGTATATGAGAACATACTTGCAAAAATTATTCTGAAATTGAATTATCGAACAAGAAACTGCACTGCAGTTTCTGGTCAAAATCTGCACTGCTGCTCAAAAGGTAAAGGCATAATCAAAGTACTAAAACTAATATCAAAACACATTTAACTCCATGAGCAGTTATAACATTCCCATAGACTAGCAAAAAGTATTCTGAAATTGAATTATGGGACAAGTTCTGTTCAAAATCTGCAACAAATAAACAGAAACTGCAGTGCAGTTTCTGCAACAAAATCTGCTCAAATCTGAAAACAAGCATTCAATGGCAGTCAAAAACGAATATCCACTCATGAAACAATTGTATAATTTTCATTAACTTCAAAAAAGAATCATAATATCCAATTAGAAGCTGTGTAGCCAATTAAAAGCAACTAAAACTGCAATGCAGGTTTTGCAAAAAGTGCAATGCAGAAACTGACTATACATTCACTAAACCATATCTAACGTAAGCAATCGTCAACTGAGAAGGAATGTTCATATCACAGCCTTGCAAGTCTTCCTATTATGCCCAGTAACACTACACCGACTGCATTTCAATGGCCTTTTAAATTCACCAAAAGCTTTGATCCTCTTTGTTGGTGGTCTTCCGGCTGGCCTCTTTGTAATTGGCGGAAGCACAACTCCAGCTGCAAAACTGTTGCTGCCCAAGCCTTTCCCAATATCTGGCCCAACGAATCTGGGCCAGCCTTTGGCCTAATCTAAAATATCAACCATGGATGACTCTGATGAAACTGAAAACATCATGGTTTCCGACTTATATGTGCACTTGGCAATGACACACACCTCCATTAGCCTTGAAAATGCAAACAAAACAACAAACAAAAACAGAAAACAATTTAAATCAGTAAATAATGTACATGAGCAGTTGTAAAATTCCAATAGACTTCCAAATATTAGTCTGAAATCGAATTATGAAACAAGAAACTGCAATGCAGTTTCTACCAAAACTACAACAAACAGATGTAGTTTATGACAGAAAATCAAAACAATTCGAATAGAAACCAAAAGGAAACCACGATAAAAGTACTATAACTAAATTCCATAAACATACAAGTCGATATAAACGAAAACAGGTTCTAAAGTACTCATACCTCAAAACTTAGGACTGCCAAAAATCTCCACAACCAAACAGCAGCTTAAAATCAAATCTGATCACGAAACGAAGAATATAGGGTTTAGCATTGAACGCCACAAGATCGCGCCGCAAAATCGAGCCACAAAACTGAGCTCGAAATACCCGAACTAAGGAGAACAGAAATCACCCAAAACTGACAGTCATTCAGCATGCAAATCGAACGAAAACGTAGCAGAAAAAAGAAGACAGAAAAACGAAGAAAATAAAAGCAAAACCTACCAGAAAATTGAGCTCCAATGGCAGAACCCAGCTCTGAAACGAAGAAGAAAACGAACGAAAACGAACGAAGAAGAAACTCGCGCGTCGTTTAAATGTTCAGAGGCAAAAGCGTCATTTAATTTGTAGGTTTACAGATGGGCCATGCTTTTTAAGAGAAAAGGGTAGAATTGTCTTTTATTTGTTATTTTTAAGCTGGCCCAACGAATCTGGGCCAGCCTTTGGCCTAATCTAAAATAGCTATTTTTTTTGAAGTATTAAAACCCAAACTAAAATACCTAATATCTCACTTACTAATTAGTAAACTTAATAATGTCTAATACCTAATTTTCCTTATAAAAAAAACCGAGCGCAAATATTTGGAAGTCGATGTCTATTACTTTTTTGTTTGATGTCTATTACTGGCAAGAGCATTTGTAACTATAATGCCTTCAATTGTCTGATTTGTAAATATTTCCCTTTTATCTTTTAATTTTTATTAAAAATAAAATCAGAAAAAGAACGGAAATTGGAAATTAAATAAATCAAATTACATCGAAATACCAAACCAAACACAACTCAATAGTACATACAATAGTAAGCGCGCCCATCTCTCTCTCTCTCTCTCTCTCTCTACAATGTCGACGAACCACCATGTCCTCCGCCTCGTCCTCTCCTGCCGCAAAATCACAGCGCAGGTGACGAACCCCTGCAGCTCCTCAATCATAGCCATGGCCTCCTCCTCCGAGCAAGAGTTCGTCGCCCAGTACCGCGCCAAGCTCAACCGCTTCCCTCGCTCTCAGACCTTCTGGGACGCCAAGGTTGCCTCTCGCGTCGGCGAGAAGCTTGGCCTCCGCCTCCGGGATATCGGCGTCACCGGCGTAGAGATCGACGTCGGCGAAGAGCTGTCGAGGCCCGTCCACCACCGCATCAGGCTATTGCCACTCTTCCATTCCGTTAAACGAGCCGGCGTCGTCGTTAATGGCGCCGACGAGCTTGGGATCGGTCCGCCTAGCTAGGGTTCGATTTAATAGATCCGAATAAACGGTGAAGATACACAAGTGTAATTGGTTTCGGTGTGAGTGAGATACACGGGAAGAGTGACGCAGTTTTGATTCTTGTGCGGCTTATAGAAATGAAATTAAAGGGATTTTTCTTGTAATGTAATTGAAATCAGAATTTTGTACACTTACCACCAGTATATTATTCACTCTTTTTTCTCGTTAAGAAGAATTGTAATTTTTATAATCGATAAGCGAAATGAAATTATTTTGAATTCGAGCTGTATTTTATGTTGTCTTGAGAAATTAGTGTTCAAGAGATATTTTGCTTACACCATATGAAAATTGAAGCATAGCAGCAGTAACCAAGACATGGCTTGATAATAAACAACCATGCAATTCAATCTGAAATTTTCAGCATGCCCCAAATTTGGCATTGGCCACTTTACTCACAATTTCAATTTAGGGTTTTTCGCAGCAATGGTCCCTTAATTATACCCGTATTTGCATTTGGGTCACTAAACTTAATTATTAGTTGTAGAGGTCACTCAACTGTGTGTTTTGTTGCACCAGCAGTCCTTCCGTCAAGTCCGTTAGCTTTTTTCGTTTAAAATGATGACGTGACAAGCATCTGTGAGAATCTCATAGATCCGTGAGGGGCAAATCTGACTTTTCAGTTAATTAAAACGAATCTTTTGGTTTTGAAGAGAACGATAGTTGCACAGAAATGGCAGTCTGAGCAAAAGGGGAAAATCGTGTCTAAGGTTTTCAAATCGAGAGGCATTGGACTTTGATTTTTGGAGGATTTTGGAACACTATCTCAGCATTATGCGTGAATGGACTAAGTAGCAAAGTATTTTGAGTTAAAAAAGCGATAAAGTACAGATATAGGATTTCAATTTCGTGGAAATCACAGAGAAAAGTGTCGAGTCTACAGTGTGTGGAGGCTTCTTCAAATGGAGACAATTTTTCGGTGGTCTGGAGAACCCCCCAAGTATGGTAAGTTACTATAACCTAAATATTCATTCTGCATTTTATATTGCAATATATTATGTTTGCAAATGTTTGGTCCTATTGTTGACAATGAAGTTTTGGCTTTAAGGTGGAAAAAAATGAAGTTGGAGTCTTTATTATTGTATGTGGTCCCATTTCTGTCGGTTTGTCATGGAAGTGATTTCACACTTGCACATGTCTGCACTTACTTTGTCTTCCTTGTTTACTTTGTCCTCATTGTCATTGAAATTGTTTGTAAGCATACCTTTGTGTAATGTGGTAGATAAAGAAGAGCTGTGTACTCTTGAACTCCATCACTTTGGTATGTTGGAGAATGGTGTGTATAAGGGAGGCAAAGTATGCTATGTTGACAACTGTATTCATGACTATCTGTCATTATTGGATTTAAACAAAATTGGGATAGATCTTGGATACAAAGTTGATATAACACAAAGGGTTACAAGCTTAAAAGTTTACTATAAGGGGCCTGCAAAAAGTGGTCAGCATGTTGTGAATGAGGTTTTAAATGATAGTTGTATTCCAGGGTTGGTTGGGAGCATTTCATCAGATCAGGTATTGGTGTTGTATTACCATAATCCTACTCATAACAACGAGCTAGAGAGTGAAGATAAAGGGCAACAACAACACAATGAAGATGTTGGCAAAGAAGATGAATATGAAGAGGAAGAGGAGGAAGAGGAGGAAAAAGAGAATGTTATTGTTGACAATGATTATGAATTAAGTGAAGAAGAAGAAAATGGTAATAAAGAGGCTGCATCAAGAGCACAACCAAGGAACGATGCACCAAATGATGAATATGCACAATGTTTTGAAGAGATGAATGAAATGCCTCTTAATGAAGCTACAGGGGAGATATCATATGATGATGAAGATAGTGATCGACTTCCTTCTAATGTTGATAGCTTTGGTCATGAGGAAGAAGGTCAAAAAAAGACAAGCAAGAGGAAATGGAAGAAGACAAATTTTAAATAGTTTAGGAAAGAAACTGATTTGAGAAATCCAGAGTTTAGAATTGGAATGCAATTTGCCAATAAGGATGAACTCAAGGAAGCTATTAGGGAGTATACAATTGTACAAGGGAGGAATATTAAATTGGTGAAGAATGATAATAAAAGTATTCAAGCAAATTGTGCAGGTCACACGAAATGCCCTTTTATTCTATTTGCTTCCAAGATAGATAGAGATGAGCAGACATTTGCCATAAAGACTTTGTCCTTAGAGCATGAGTGTACTAGAGTGGACAAACTGAAATATACTAATTCAAGGTGGCTGTCCAAAAGGTTTGCTGACAAGATTAGGAAAATCCTGAGTGGGATGTAGGGGCATTCAAGGCTGAGGTTTTAGAAAAGTGCCATATGAATATTTCAAAGCATCAGATTTATAGAGCAAAGAACTTGTGCAAGGTGATCATTGAAGGTAGCTATGTGGAGCAATATGCGAGGCTATGGGACTATGCAGAAGAATTGAAGAAGGCTAACAAGGGCAGCACTGTGATTATAAAGAATAAGATGAAGGGTAATAAACCTGTGTTTGAAAGAATTTATGTGTGTTTGGAAGCTTGTAAGCGGGGATTTTTGGCAGGATGTAGACCTCTGATTGGTATAAATAGCTGCCATTTAAAGGGACCTTACACAGGGCAAGTTTTAACAACTGTTGGTGTTGATGGGAATAATGGACTGTACCTAGTTGCTTATACTGTTGTAGAGGTGGAATCAAAAAGTAGTTGGATTTGGTTCCTTGAACTTTTGATTGAAGACTTACAAATTGAGAATGGGAAAGCTTGGGTGTTTATGAGTGACAAGCAAAAAGGTCTAATACCTGCAATTGAGACATTGCTTCCAACAGCTGAGCACAGAATGTGTGTTAGGCATCTCTACAACAACTTCAAGACAGAGCATGCTGGCCTTGCATTGAAAAACATTCTCTGGGCTGCAGCAAGAGCAACTACCATTCCCTGGTATGAAGTAGAAATGGACAAGATGAAAGAGCAAAATGAAGAGGCATGGAAGTGGGTTAAGAAAAGACCAGCTAAAAATTGGAGTAGATCTCATTTTGAGCCACATTCTAAGTGTGATATGTTGTTGAACAACCTATGTGAATCCTTTAACTCTTGCATTTTAGATTTAAGAGACAAGTCTATCTTAACATGTCTAGAAATGATTAGAGTTTATATCATGTTAAGGATGGCTAATAGAAGGATTGCTGGTACGGTTTGGAGACATCCAGCTGGGCCTAGGATTGTCAAGATCATTGAGAAGAACAAGTTGGGAGCTAGTCAATGCATTCCTAGATTAGCAGGTGAAAGTAAATACCAAGTGAGCCATATGTATTCGGGAGAGTATGCAGTGGATCTAAAAGCCAAGACTTGCTCTTGTAGAAGATGAGATTTGTGTGGGATCCCATGTTCTCATGCCATTTCTTATATCTTTCAAAAGGAGGCAAATGTGTTTGACTATGCACATGACTGCTATAAGAAAGAATCTTACCTGAGTTCATATGAACCTATGGTACACCCAATACCATCCATGGACCAGTGGCAGAGAACTAATTGGCATCCAATTAAACCTCCTTCATATAAGAAGCAGCCTGGAAGACCTAAGAAATTAAGGAACAAAAAACCAGCTGATGTTGAAGTACCTGCTCCAGTTCCTCCAAACCCTTTGCCTCCATTTTACAATCCACCACCTACTAAGTTGAGAATGATTTATGTCAAGATGAGATGCTCAATTTGTGGCTAGGAGGGACATAATAAGACAAGACATGCCAACCAAGGTACATCATAGGTATTTGGGTTATATTTTCTGTAGTTTAATTTACTTTTGTTATTATTTACTTAAATTAGTTTTTTGTTTTTGTTTTTGTAGGCCGTTCCTAATCAGCCCAACCAAGGAGCAGTTGGCTCTTCTACAGTCCAAGGGGCAGCTCAGGTATTTGGGTAATGCATTCTGTAGTTTAATTTACTTTTGTTATTGACAACTTTAATTGGTTTTTTGTTTTTGTTATTGTGGGCCGTTCCTAATCAGCCCAACCAAGGATCAGTTGGCTCTTCTACAGTCTAAGGGGCAGCTCAGGTATTTGCGCTAAAATCTTTTTAGTTTAATTCTTTTTTGGTCTTTAGGCCCAACCAGTTCATATGACCCTTTTTTTTGTTATTGTTTAGTTTATATCATGTTTATTTTTGTTTTTTAGGCCCACCCTTATCAGCCCAACCCAACTAGAGGCAGAGGGAGAGGTAGAAGAACTACTACAGGAAGAGGGAGAGGAAATGGGAGAGGAGAAATGCCAACTGGAAGAGGAAATGTAAGTGACAACTCTGTCATGCTACTTTGGTTGGTTAATTTACTTTAGTTAGTTAATATAGTTCCATTTTATTTTAGGTTGGAAATGGGACAACAGAAATGCCAAACAATTTCTCATCATCACAACCACTCTCATCATCATCACAGCCAGTCTCTTACACTGGAGCTACATCATCATCATCACAACCACCCAAGTCTCCTGCCAAGAGATTCAAGTCTCCTGCCATGAAGCTTAAACCATGGATGTTTTGAAGGCTAACTAGGAGGATGTTTGTTGGATGTCTTTTTTGAAGTAGTTAGATGTGTTTCATGAATGGTTTGTTAGATGCAAGTTTTGAGTCTCTGGGCTGGATGTAATTGTTTTGTATTTGGTACATTTTGGAAGCTGTAACTTGGAACCTGATTTGATACATTTGGTACATTATGCTTCTGTTTCACTTGGAACCTGATTTGGTACATTTTGGAAGCTGTTACTGAATGTTATGTATGTTGATTTGGTACATTTTGGAACAAGGTGTTATAATTGTTGATTTGGTACATTTTGGAACTGGTACAGAGCATCATCAAATTTCATTGCAAAATGAACTAAAATTTCATTGCAAAATTTCAATACACTAACACCAATATGTCCACCAAACTCAAACTCAAATTTCATTGCAAAATGAACTACATATCGGTTACATTTCGACCTAATTGATCATAAGCATTTCATAGTTTCCACCCGGAAATGTCAACCAATTGCTCAAGACACAGAGCATCATCATAATCACCAAAAACCCAAGACCTAATGACAGAAATGAAACCCCCCATATCTGATTCTCTCTTAGTCGTTGGCCTGTTCTTTTCTCTTCCAACTGTCTTTTCTGCTTGCCTAGTTCTCCAACTTCGTACTCCAATTCCTTCTTTTCTCTCTCCACAATTTTCAGCTTATCTTCCACTTCTTTCTTTTGTTCTTCTATTAACTTTAGGTCCTCTTCCATTGCTCTCATTCTTCTCAGCAACCCAGGAATTATTTCTTTTCCTCTTGCACAGGTCGGTGCGTCCAGCCACTCCCAATGATGCCCATTTCCTCTGTTTCTCTGTAAAGTACGTTTCATAACATCAAAGCTAAACCCATCAAGCAACAAAATAAAATTTCACAGATTAACTTACTCGACTCATCTCACAAGCCTCAAATCTTCTCCCAGGATTTAAATAAGTCCATGAAGTCCAGGTTTTGATATATCCACCGCACCTGCATAGCTTCCTCGCACTAGGGCTCGGATTTGTTGATGAAGAAGAAATCTGCGACATTTTTGTGCATCTACTGTCTTTATGTGGCTTCCCAGATTTCCTTTGAATTTCCAAAATTTCAGCACATCTATTGTTTTTATGTGGCTTTTTTCGAATATAAATGGGAATTGTGGATTTATTTGGCGCCAAATTTGACATTTTTCGAAGGGAAGTTGCTGTAGATGGGAGGTTGGACATGCCAAACTTCAAAAGACAAATTTGCCCATGAAATTGACACCACATTAGCCAGACTTGACGGAAGGACTACTGGTGCAACGAAACACACAATTGAGTGACCTCTACAACTAATAATTGAGTTCAGTGACCCAAATGCAAATACGGGTATAGTTGAGGGACCATTGCTACAAAAAACCCTTCAATTTATAATTCATAGATAGGCATGGCGCAGGTGGGTATGGAACGGTAGAGAGTTCTTCCATTAACTGTACAAAACCTTTCGGTAGACCAATTTCTCTTCCGTTAACCAACCATGAAATCCTTTAACCATTCGGTTGGTTAACCGTCGGATCAGATTGGTTCAACAGACCAGCAGTACCAATTAACAAATACCTATTAATCATATAATAAAAATACAATTTAGGGCTAATGACAAAGCACACCCTTGATGTTTGGGGTCATTCTCAATATGGGCCCCCGGCTTTCAATTTCATCAATTTACACCCTATGGTTTTCACATATGACAAATTTAAGCCTTCCATTAAGTAGACCGTTTGTTCAGACGTTAACTGTTGACGCGTCCATTGTAGGACCCACCCACTATCCAATCCCCAATTTTTTTTTAAAAAATAAAATGATACAATAATATAAATTTAAAAAAAAACTTTGAAAAAAAGTCTACCTAGATGCACAACCTTCCCCACCCCTTCTCTGACGCAATCTTCCCCACCCCCTCTTCGAATCACAATGTCCCCCACTCCCACTTTAATGCACAACCTTCCCCACCCCCTATCGCCAACGCACAACTGCACCCACCCCAGCATCTTCCTTCTCTTCGTCCCTGTCTCTTTCTCCGTCTCTTTCTCCTCCTAGCTACCCCATCCCATCTTATCCAAAACAACCCCTACCTCTATCTCTCTCTCTCTCTCTCTCTCTCTCTATCTCTCTCTCTCTCTCTCTCTCTCTCTCTCTCTCTCTCTCTCGGCAGCATAGAACTCAAATAGGAACTTTGAAAAACACGGCTCAAACAACGATCCCCATTTCCCTATTTTCTCAATTTCCCTTTCTTTCTCTGTCTTTCTTCCACCCAATTGTGGGATTGAATTGTTGTGAATTTATGATCCATACCCCAAAACCCATAAACCCATTTGCCCAAAACCAGGATCTCCTTCCTTCCTTTTGCCCTGTAATTGATTTGGTTCCATTGAAGAAGGTTGAAGAAGAAGAATTTGAAGAAAAGAAGAATTGGTTTTTAATGTCACGCAGACCCATTTTCATGGATCATGTTCTTATGGCCTTGCGCGAGACTAAGGAGGAGAGAGCGACCAAAATTCGAAGGCTTTTCAATTTCTTTGATGCTGCAAATCTTTGATACTTGGACCATCCCTAGATTGAGGCCGAGTTATTGGCGCTTCATATTCCACCATAGTACAAGTATGCCAAGGATCTTATGAAGGTTCGATTATCTGAAGTTTCAAAGGTACATGGTTGACAAGGAACTTGAGATGTATCAGATTTTTCAGGCCAATGATGGTGCATCAATGAGAGGGGGTGGGGAACATCGGGGAGGCGCTGGGCACGGAAGGGGCTAGGATCTAGGTAGATTTTTATTTTATTTTAGGGCTAACGACAAAAGACACCCTTCTAGTTTGGGGTGGTTCTTAATATGGACTCCAAGGTATCAATTTTATCAATTTACACCCTTACGTTTGCAACATCGTTCAATTTCATCCTTCTGTTAATTGACCGTGTAGTTAATCGTTAAATACTGACGTGTCTATTGTGGGACCCACCTACTAACAAAATTTTTTTTATTTAAAATAATAAAATAACATTCTAACAAAAAAAAATCAACTTGAAAAATCCCAGCCCCTCTTGATCCATGTCGTAATCCACACCATCGTCTTCCTTTAATTCCTTCCTCTTTTGACCCAGCATCACCGCTAGCCCCCAGAAACCAGCGAAGACTACAAATCTGGAAAATTTCCAACCGCTCCCATTGTTAAGGTTTTTTTTTTTCAAACCCAACCAGTAGCTCCGCCCTCATCATTCTTCTTCCACTTCTTTCTCTTCCACTACCCCCACCTCCAGAACAGATCTGACATGGTCGTGCTCACAATCGCGCCTTCGACTGTGGATCCCAAAGAATAAGAGTCACAACGGTCAAGACCCAGATGATGTCAAACACCCAAAAATCCCATAAATAATGGAAATGCTAGTAGCGAAAATGAAAATGGAGGAAGAGAAATTGAACAAAGGGATTTAAGCCCCAAAAGTGCCCTTGCAGATCTGCCCAGAAATCAAAAATGGAGGAAGCGAAATTGAACAAATGGATCTGAAGCCCCAAAAGGGCCCTTGCAAATCTGCCCAGAAATCAAAAATGAAAAAAGAAAAGCTTAGAGAGAGAGAGAGAGAGAGAGAGAGAGAGAGAGGCCATGATGACTCTTCCTTTTTCGACCTCAGCGCCCAGCAAAAGTCACACATGGAATTCCAAAAACCGCTCGCCAAAGCCAGACGCAATCTCTCTATTTGATCCGATAGACTCGCTGCATCCACTCCATCTCTCAAATCAACGCCACTGCTTTGTCAACTTGATTGATGCGCCTAGATTTCCAACACTAAATCAAATCTGTTACTTTGTTTTACAAATTTTTTTTATAAAAAAGATCTGATTATTTGAACTTTGAGCACAGCCAGAGATAAAAAAGAACATGCCTTGGTTCAAATCTTCAATCGTATCCATGGCCACCCTCTTCATCAAAACACAATACCCATCTCACTCTTTGCCCAAAACGTTCGATATCCATTTCACCCATGTACTAAAACTATCAATCCCTTGAGGTGGGGTGGGGATGAGGAAGAGGGATGGGAGGTGCTGTGGTGGGATGGAAGGAGAGGAGTGATAGACTTGGTTTCAGTGAGGACAGGTGGCAGGGTGGGGAATCGGAGAACTCGAGAAGATGGAATCGGGGAGAAAGGGACGAAGTGCGGCTGTGTGTCTGGTTTTTTTATTTATTTATAAATATTATTATTTAAATTTTAAAATATATTTAGTTTTTGTTTAATTATATGTTTTTATCATTTTATATAATTTTTAAAAAGAATTAGTGGGTTAGGAGGTGGGTCCCACAATAGAGATGTCAACATTTAATGATTAACCACACGGTCAACTTAACGAAAGGATGAAATTAGATGATGTTGCAAACGTAAGGGTGTAAATTGATAAAATTGATACCCTGGAGTCCATATTGAGAAGCACCCCAAACCAGCATGGTGTCTTTTGTCGTTAGCCCTTTATTTTATATGGTTTTATCATTTTATATAATTGATTTAGTTTTTATTTTTTTAAAATTAGTGGGTCCTACATTGGACACATCAGCAGTTAACATATGAACAAACGATCTACTTAACGGAAGGTTTAAATTGGTCATATGTGAAAACCATAGGGTGTAAATTGATGGAATTGAAAGCCGGGGGCCCATATTAAGAATGACTCCAAACATCAAGGGTGTGTTTTGTCGTTAGCCCTACAATTTATAACAATTTCACATAACGTAAGTTCATTAATAAATACTCCCAAATTATCCTAACCCACATCATGAAATGTCAAATAGTGGTGCCCAATTTTCCTGTTACCAAATGCCTTGTGTCCACTTGTTTCTATGCTAGCTTTGTGACATGTGGTTGTAGCATTGAAGAAGGAATGGAAGTTGTAAAAGGCATACATGAAATTGTTGAGGATGATGAGCTTTTCGTGAAAGTTACAAATGCCCTGACTAAAAGAAAGAATCGAGAGATGTTTGTTGCATTAAGGCAAGCCAACCAACAAATTATGTGGCTTAGGAGAAAGAAAGTTCAAATTTAGTCTTAGTTACTTTCTTATTTGTCTTTTTGTTTTGAGTGATTTTGAACTGATAATTATTAATTCTCCTTTATTTGTTGTTGAGTTTTTTTTTTTTTTTTTTTTTTTTTTTGAGATGGAAGAGTTATTTTAATATACATTGATACACGCACACACACACACACACACACACACACACACACACATATATATATATAAATAAGGTTTTTTATTTTATTTTTACAAATGAGTTCTAGTGATGATGATGATGATAACAATACACACTCAGATGACAGTGACGGTGAATTTTATTAGTTGATTTATGGAGGATGTGTTGTAGATGTTTCTGAATGGCTTAAATATGTAGACAAAGAGCCATGCAGGACTTCATCACGTACCAGATATAAATGGGTCATAGATGTTTTAAATGGTTATAAGATAAGATGTCATGAACAATTTAGGATGGAAAAACATGTCTTCATAAAATTGGTAGAGACACTTACATGTACATATGGTTTGAAAGATGTTGGAGAGATACCATTAGTTGAGGCATTATCAATGTTCCTTATCATTTTAGGTCATGAGTTCAGTAACCCTCCGTTTAAATGAGGGAAAATAACTCGGAATTTAGTTAAAAGTCAGGAATTGAGGAAGAGAAATGACAACTCTCTAGTTTGGCAGCTTAAACGTAGAACTTATTAAATGACGCGTGGAAATTGGGGCATCAAATTCTCAAGTTTAATTTCCACCAAAACATGCGTCATTTTTCAGTTTTCATGGTGCAATTTACAAAATTTTGTCATTTACAAAACTTGACATATGCAAATTAAAACACTGAAATCTTCAATTGCCAAAAATTGAAATGGTGGAAATTTAACTTCCATTATTTTAGAATTCTATGTAATTTTCATTTCCTTTATCCAAACAGATGGTTAGAATAGTCCAAGAAAGGTTCCAACATTCTGGTGAGACCGTGTCAAGGTGGTTTGGGATAATTTTAGAT